CAAGTTTAGAGGGGAAATATACAAATAACTCAAAAAAAAAAAAAAACTATCAAATCTTTTCCACCACTATAAACTATTTGGGAAAATTGATTCCTCGTTAATGAATGAAAGTTGAGTGTCATTTATTCTATGCTTGAAATGAAATAGAAATCACACTACTCGAGTTGAAATCACTGATTCTCTCCCTAGAAATGAGGTTTTGTTGGGTTGATTACAAAGTTTTGGATAAAAACGTGAGAAATGACTCGTAATAAATCCACAATGTGTAGAACTTCTGAAGTATGACCGATAGTTACGGACTTATAGTTAAATATTCTCGTTCAGTTTTTTTATTTGAGTTTTTAATTTGAGTTGAGATGTAATTTTTTATAATAATTTTTTAATATAGCATAAAAAATTAAATGTGATTTTTAGAATAATATCGTGGTGGCATAAAAAAAAATCCCAGGTAATTAAGATATAATTTAAAAACGTCATATTAAATTCAAATTAGACATATTCTAAAAGTGTCTCCATCGTAATTGTTTTCTCCTTTAAAACATTCTATATATTTTTTACTCTAAAAAAAAAACATTCTATATGTTTTTAACTATAAATCGAATAGCGCAAGTCCATGTACAATAGTAGTTTCTTCTTTTTTCTTTTGAAATCAAATAATATGTAGGTTCTATCATTTCTATAATAGGAGAGGTTTTTATTATTAGTACTTGTCTTGTTGAATGTCATAATGTATAGATCATTATCAATATTGAAGTTCATTTAAACTAGATCAAAATCTAACAATCAAGGAACTTATAATACCACCATAGGGTTTTTTTTTTTGTTTTTTTTTGTTTTTGTTTTTAGAAGAAAAATCTAGGGAAGAATTCAAAATTTCTCTTCTTTTATACATAGAAAAGTTTTAGGTGAGCACTGAGTGGGTCACTGTGTCAGTAGAAGGGAGGAGGTGAGAATTTGCCATCTTATATTGAGTTGTCGGCCACATAGAAGTGAGCCAAAGCTCTCCTATCTTTTTTTTTTCACATGTAGAACAATCTTATTAATAGGTGAGCTTATAATCATTAAGAGCATGTTTAGTTGGATGATTCGTTCTCTGATTCGAATTATAGTTTATGGTTCGCTATAATATTTTTTCTCATAAAAAGTACACATAAATCGAAAATAATTCTAATCTTATGGTTCTAATCCATGAACTAAACGGGTTTTAAATTTTATTAATATCACATTAAACTAAAAAAACATATAAAATATATATAATTTTTAATATAAATTTAACAGTTAAAAATAAAAAATTAATAATAATTTATTTTTTCTAATTTTATCATAAAAATATTTTTTAATACGTTTAATGTATTAATAAATTAAAATTTTTTAATTATTAAATATACGTATTTTTTAATTTTTATGTAATTTTATATAAATTTAATAGATAAAAAATTATGGCATCTCCAAAAAAAAAAAAAAAAGTCCATTTTTCTCCTCTTTTTATTTTTAATTTTTTTTTTATTCACGACTAGAGAGAGTGCTACCCCGACAGAAAGCGACTGATAACCATGGCAGCCTTATCACACCCACGTGCGCCTCCTAATCCTCAACCCCACCATCCTTCCTCCGCCTCCACGTCAGATTCTCTTCCAATCACAACTAGGTCCCACCTGTGGGCCCCTACTTGACTTGTCCCTTCTTTTGTCCCCTCCCCTTCAATAATGGAGAAAGAGATCAGCCCCTCTTCTTCCTTCGCCGTCCACATCATGATCAACGTGGATAAGATGTACCTTCCAATCAATTAATATTCTCAAAATTTGTGTTAAGTCTCCATTTGCATTTTATAAATCCTCAGACACTCAGCCTGTCAGCCACAGCTGATAACATGTAAGCTTTTGGCATCGTTCGTTTCGTTGATTCGAGTTTATAATTTAAATTTTATTACAGTAAAAAATTTTCATAAATAATTATATTTAATTTTTTTATTTTTTTACTACAGTAAAAAACTCTCACATACAATCACATCTCAACTCAAATTTTAAACTCGAATCATCAAAACGAACATAAAACGGGTAATAAAATGGTTTAATTATTTATTTATTAATGTATTGCATTGAACATCGCGAATGCTTTTAGTAATAAAATGGTTTAATTAGTAAGATTAGTGATACACATTTTGATTCGGGTTAAGTCAAGATTAAACATAAAACGGGTGAGTGAATGGAATCCACAAATGTCTCATAGGGCCAGGCTTAATTAGTTGGGTAGTATTCGACATTCGAGAATTAAGTTGAGATTAAACATAAAGTAGGTGGGTCCTATGTCTCACAGGCTTAACATTTTCCCAGTTATAGTAACATTTGATAAACTTACACAATATATATATATATATATGGTATGGGCACTATTGCATGTATGTACAAGTATTTGTCACGTAATATATGTGAATGATGAATTGACGAGACTTGATAATTTTGTCATAGGGGTTGAAAATAGCAACAAGTAGAGTTAGAAGTCATTAGTTTGGGAGAATGTCATTGTCATGCAGTTAACTCTGAGGGTTAGGATGTCTTCTCATGATTGGAAAGGTCGCTTTGTGTATTAATTTATGCATATGCTGATTTCTAATGGTAGATTATGTCGTGCTAGGGCTGACTACCTACACTGTACTACATACACATCTTAAGTAGGTATATATAGATAAATATTAATTATTGGATGATTAGCGGCTAAAGGCAGGTATTCCAATAATTGGGACGTTATGTGAGAGCCACGTTTTTTTTTTTTTTTTTAAGAAAATAAATTATTAAAAATCATAAATCATAAAAAATAAAAGATTCATGCATGAATTGAATAGTACAAAAGATGTATGGAAGTGAGGGGAAAAGAAAAAGAAAGAGTTGGAACAAGATATTGTAATTTTAGCCACATCTAGCTACCATACACACATATTGTGTTTAATTATGGTATCAAATTTAGAAACCTAAAAGATATAAATATATATATATATATAGATGTGTATATATTCCACATCTAACATAAGTTGTGAGTGTAATCTGAGTAAGATACACACAGAAGTCCAAACTCCATTAACAATTGAAATTAAGCACTTGTTTGATCTTTTGTATTCCTTTTAAGAATGTGTTTAGTCAAACAAAAGTTTGAAGAATAAAGCAATATAGCACCATCACCACGTTGAAAAGTTTGTGCACAAAAAAATCCAAACAAGCAAACAAACAATTTGAAAAGCAAAGATAAATTAAAGTGATCAAATACGAATGATGGGGGGTTTCATCATATTCTTCACAAAATTGAGAATGGACATGAGCTAGAACCAATTTAGGCCAGGGTGTGTTAGACCCTCTCTGTCTGTTCTTTGGTTACATCATTGCCACCAAAGAAGGGACTTGATGCATTGATTTAGGACACTCTTTTGCACTGTAGAACCCACCATATTATAATTGCCCTCTCTTTTTCTTGTGCCCTTTAACAAGGTGGAAAAAAATTATAGGTAGGACTAGGACTTGGACTACTAGGTCTACCTTATACAACAATTTGGTCACTTGCCCTAATGCTAGTCCAGCAAGGACACTTACCCTACAACATGCTCCTAGGCTGCTTGCTTTATGTGAAGTCTCTTCATTTGGCTTCTTTCCATAAAAACCAATTATCATGTGTTTAAGCTAAAAATGAACAAATCACCGGTGGTGGCGGCATGGCGATAAGAGAACCCCTATTAAGACTCTTTGTCCCATCAACCAGGCATCAATTCTCCTCGCCCACAGTGAGGCCGCAATTATGCCTCTCAGTGGGCTTACCGAATATGGGTTGGACCCGCGGTGACTTAGGCTCTTTGGATGCTGACATACAAAAGCACAGGTTAGGTTCCCTTGCCATCTTACTTGTAGTCTCAATAGATTCTTCTTAATGCGCTAAATGCGGGCGTGAGAACACCATTGATCTCCTTTTTGAACTAGTGAAAAAAAAAAGCTACAAATGAACAGGCGGGGGACCTCATAACTGAGCTTGGTTTTGGGTGGTTCACACTGATTTTGAGGGCTAGGCCCATTTGTGTGTGTTTGTGTTTTGACCCATTTTGGCAATAACCCATTTGATGGTTCTAGATGGCCTCTTCTCTAAGTTCATGAATGTTTTTGGGGGTGTTCCTTCCAAGCTGTACTTCCCTATTTCTCAATGATGACATGTGATCAATCCGTTTTATGTTTTCCTTGGCGTTGACAGAGCCTGAGTTCTTCTAATAATGTTGTGGCCCACTAGTAGTCCTTTTCCAGTTGTCTTTTCAAGTGTGAGTTATTTGCTTGAAAATGCAGCTTTTCGTTCCCCTGATGAGGGCCAAGAGAAAAATGTTTCTTAAGTTCAGTTACATGATATCAGTTGTAGTTCAAGCTCAAGGTTTTTTGATTGTTATGATCCTTGTACAGTAGAACAGCTAAGAAGTGAACTCCATTTCACAATCTCTCCCCATTGGGTCATATTATCAGGTTTTATACAGAATGTTGCCATATATTTAAGACTTAAGAGATATTATAAAAGAAGAATAATTTTGGATTTTGCCATACAAGAAGCTGTAATTTTTATTTCGGATTTTGGCCAATAAAGAGCATTCTATGCTAGGGTACAAGTACATTGTATTTTAGAATCACATTAAAACAGAAGGGCATGCAAAACTAGAAGGTATTCGTAAAAATCTATTGATAAGAACGAGTTAGATAGTTTGTCCATGGCCTAAACCTAGATATATACAATTCGTGGAAACTTTGACTGGTAATGGTAACAGTAATCGTTATTCTCCAGAGGCATTAAATTATGACTGTCCCAACAATCAGAAAATACTCTTCAAATTCATCACTTTAATACATGCCAGCAATAGTACCGAAGCACCATAATATTTAGAAAAGTAACTCATTAATGCAAAAAATGAGAAGATTTTGAATATCCCAAATCTGGTTAACATTGATGTTTAGATGCGATTCAACATAACATTTGGAACAAAGTCACAAGATACCCACAGCGTACAGAGGGCTGAGTTTCTTGGAGCAAAATGGGGAGAAAAATGCTACTAGTTCAGCATATCAATACAATATGGACAGGTTACCAAACAAAAGGAAACAATTTTGCCTTTGATAATAACATTTCAAGCTGCTGATATCAAAAGGTCATAAGTTTAAACGGAGACGGTTTAATGGGCAACAAAGCCTTCGCAAAACACAGCCTCAAAAAGTTGACCACCTTTAATCAAAGGATTAACATTCAAAATGCTCAAGCACAAACCATAACTAGTCACCTAGTTTACCACCCCAGGCAACAAAGCTTTCCTGTGATCCAAACTCCTACAAACACCATTCAAGAAATGTATATCATATCAAAAGAAAGTTGAAGGGAAATAAATTTAAAAAAAAAAAAAAAAGTTTACCTGGTTCAACATGAACAATAATGATGTTTTAGAAAGGGAATGAAAGAGAAAACTTACAAGCTGGCTGAGTCGGAAATCAGGAGGAGTATCAAGTTCAATGTTTGCTGGATCAAGTACAAGATTCTGGCACTCCTCCAAATCCTTCTTTAAATCCTCAGGTCCTAACTGAGCATAATCAGCAAGCTTAGGTTTGCTCTTCAGCGGTTGACCATTCTCATGTGCAATGCCATCCCTGTTCGGGGATTGGCTTTGAAGAAGATCATCACAGAGAGATAGCCCATCAACAAGTTGTTGAGAATCCAACAAATTTTGTGACTCACTATCCCACCATTTGGGATCTTCCTGATTACAGTTTACATTGTTCTCATTATTATTAGGTGCTTGATCGAGTTGATTTTCATTTTCTGCCTCAGGTAGAATATCGTCTTCCAAGCCTTCAATGTCAGCAAACTTCTGTACAATAACGCAGAGAATATATGAAAAGGAGGTATCAGTATCTCATAAATGGCGAAAGGAAAACACTCTGCAACTAGTTGATATATTAAAAATCTACTTAGCTATTAAAAGTGTTAAAAAAATAATTTTAACACAAGATAAAGTGGCAAGTAAATTCCAGAAAATATGGTTTCGAAACTTGAACCGTTAAATTGAAGGCATTGGTCATTCACAAATGTAAAACATATTTATACTTTACACACTTTCAGGGAAAAAACCATAGGAGCATAAGGGGAAAAAAGAGATCTACCTGTGCATAGGCATCGATACAAGTACCAATAGTATCTTCTCCCAGGTCAACTTCAGAATGCCGTCGTTCACCACGAGGGGTATCAGGCATCACCGACTTAGGAGTGAGTGGATATACTTTTGTAACAGTGTCATCCATTCTTTCAGCAATGTCTTGATCATTTTTATCACCTTGCTTGACTCGGTTCTGCTGGTAAAATATTTTTGAGATTACAAACTCCCCATGCTTCTCATCCTCCTCTGTTCCTAGGTGATATTGATGCATAGCCCAATTAGTTTTCTGAGCTTTGCCTCCTTTTACCACAGTCATGTAGAGAACCATGAACTTCTTACACCCTCTTTGAACCCCAGCTAAAATCACTGGCTTGGTGTGACCAGTCTTATGCCAGCGGACATCACTCTCCTCATCATGTATCTTTCGGCGCTTCCGAGTCCCAGTATTATAGGCCTTAATTGCTCTATGGAAAAAGTGGGAGACACTCCCATCTTGCTTAACCCCTGAAAAAATTGTGTTTTCAAAATCAATTAACTAATAATCAAACTAGAAAGCAAGCACAGAGCCACAGACCTGTCACCAACCTGGTAGTTTCCGAGGATGGACATAACAGATTCCATCATCTTCATCGACTGTCGGAATAAACTCGTTGATAAAAGGATGGGGTTTCAAATTCTCTTCACCATTCTTGGCTAGTAAGTGCCATATAATCTCTTGATCAGTTGGATCAAACTTCACTCCTCCAGGTAATCCTGGCCACTCTTGAGCAACCTGGAAGCAGAGATTTCCATTAGCTAATATATTTATTCTTTTATTTATTTAGCATTGAAACCAAAGAGGAAAAGTAGTCAGGGTAAGCTTATATGTTCAGGGATCCCAGCAAGAATAAATCAATCAAATTTCCAACTGCGTGATATTGGATGTATTAAGGGTGAAGAAGTTGCCCAATCCATAGAGAAAGGCCACAACTTCTTCAGCAGCAAATATGGCTCGGATTTTTACAGGTCATGTCCCATTTATATTCAAAGAGATATTTACCAATTACTACAACTAAGCACATTATTTGTGCATCTACACGTCCATGATGAACCACTGTAGGAGTTACCATTTCAAAATTAATGAAATAGAACTAGAGGGAAGCAACAGTTAAGGAAAACGGCACTAGTTATCCTTAGTAATAAAATAAATGAACAGTGTTACATACTATTGGCCTTACACAAGTTGGTCAAAGTTGCATTTGGAGCAGATGAACAAGAATACAACGACACGTAACAGAAAAGAAAATAGGGAACAAACTTTGCCAATTGTGAAAGTACCAATGCATATTGCATTACACAATCACTCCATAAGACTCTTATTTCCAGTATTATATATATATATATATATATATATATATATATAGACACACACACATATATATACACAGCACTGAATCGAACCATGTTAGCATTGGAAACTTAACATATCCAAGGAAAAGAAAACAAAACCGTAAATATTGACAAGCCATGGGAACAATAAAAAGTACGTTATTCAATTTTAAAGTGATCGTTAACATATAGAGTCATCAATAATCAATTTAGAATGCAGCATTTACATGTACTTCAGTATTGTCAGGAAAAGAATCAATATCAAGATCTACTTATACTCATAAATGAGCAGCTCTACTATCTCTTTTAATTTTTCGATAACAATAAATCATATCGAGGATAGGGGCAAATTGGAAAACTTACGTCGCTGTTGTCAATCACATATTGGCAATTAGGACAAGCTCTAGTTGGGTTGCTTTTCCATTTCACTCTTTCATGTTCATAGGTACCCGATGCGCTCTTGATTTTCGTTGCGATTCTCTTACTGTCAACTAACCATGACGGTCTGCACAAATTACACACAAAATCCTGGTAGTCAGAATCACCAAGTTGTTTAATCTCAGTCTTGACTAAAAAGATTGAGAAATTCCCTAGTCCAATTACAGGCATGGTGAAGATATCGAAGAAGTAAGTTAATTAACCAATGACGTTAAGATAATATATGACAAATATATAATAAAATTCCTGGCGGTCAGAATCATCAAGTTGTTTAATATCAATCTTGACTTAAAAGGATTGAGAAATTCCCTAGTCCAATTACAGGCACAGTGAAGATATCGAAGAAGTAAGTTAATTAACCAATGATGTTAAGATAATATACGAAAAATATATAATAAAATTGCTAGGTCTAAAGAAAGAATGATCAGAATACAGAAATGTAGGGCCTGTTCAGTAGTGTTTTCAAAATGGTTTTGTTTTGAATATGAAAATGAAAGTTTTTTGGGAATGGTGCTGAGATTGAAACTGAAATTGTGTGTGGTTATTTTTCTTAGAGATCGTTTTAGGTATTAAAAAAAAAGTAAAATTGTGTTTGGATACATTTTTAAACGTGTATTAAGTTGTACTTTAGAAAATGAAATGAAAAAGGGAAAACAACTTTCAACCATTTCTATTTCCTTAACAAAAACCATTCTCACTGTTTTTTGTTTTCGTTCTCGTTTTCAAAGTATTTGCTAACCAAATGCGGTTTAGAGGCCGTTTTTGTTTTCTTACCTCCAAAGACTTGCAGAAACGTTTTCAAAAACTAATGAAAACAATTCCAAACAACACCGTAATATTAACTATTGAAAATGCCTAAAGCTATTGTCACATGGCAAGTATTTTGAAACTAAAACCAATGCAGGTAAATGGAGTCACCCATTAACCACTCTTAATCACATTGCTGATGGTGAAAACCTAAAAAAATTTGCTTATACAGGAATTCTCTTCCAAACACTTAAAAGTACTTCACCACAATAACAATGTAAACTGAAAAAATCAACAAGGACATGGTAAAGCTATTTTATTCGTAAATATCTACAAGAAAGTTAAAATTTTTCTCGTCTCATGAACGTTAAAACGCACAAAAGGTACTTCTTTTCTATGGTACATTGATCACATAATCAAAATTTCAATGCACAAATGAAAGACAAATAGCTGGGTAATCCAAAATTAACGTAAAACAAACAAACAAAAAAAACGACAACATAGAAGTTTGCAAAACATACAACTAATAGTACTTCAAAAATACCAAAACGTGATTTAATGAGGGATTAAAAGCAAAACTTCACGAACTCCTTCAAAACCACCGAACCAAGACAACCCGTTTGAGGTTGAAAACAAAAAACAAAACAAAAAAAAAAGAGAAAAAGAATCTCGGCAAAAACATGAAAAAAAAAAAAACCAGAAATGAAAAGGGTTTCTTCATCCATAAACAACGGGATCAATCAATATCCGAGTTCACACTTTGATACAGTGACATGAAAATACACCAAAAAGAAAAAAAAAAAACAATCGCAGACAAGGGAAAGAACAAAGAAGCGCGTACCCAGCCATGGGAGGGTCGAGAACACTGAAGACCTAATATGTAAGACTCACAGAGATTCAAAACGCCATGAAATAGACTCTCGCCACTTTTGGCTGTTGCGCTTTCTCTCTTGTCTGTAATGAATCTCCGTTGACGAAGACTGGGAGTGAAGAAAGAGGTATATATAGCACCATTTTTTATAGCAATTTAATATAATTGTTTTCCCTCCCTTCAAAAAAAGAAATCTTTTTCCTCTTTCTTAAGACGGTACATTTTATTTTATTATTATTATTATTGTTGTTATTACTTTGGGCATGGCTATGGTAAGGGATATACTTTTTCCTTACGCTAGGGTATGTTAATGATAGCCCTCCGATCATTATCTGCGGTGATTTCTAAACAAACTTACATGGACCCTCAGACACCAGATTTTATCAAAAATTCAAAATCAAAAATTAAAAAAATCCAAAATAAGAATACATTTGCAGCTCTATTAAGTCCCTTCCCCGACAACGACACCGGCGCAAAGAACCCAACGGCACCGGCAGAAAGAACCCTTCCTCTGACGACGTTGCAATCCTGCCCCTCCTCCGACGTTACGATCCCGCTCCTTCTCTTACGACAGCGCAAAGTCTCTGTAGAAAATAACGAAAAATTTGTTGACTTGAGGTACAAGAAAAATCAACAACTAGATTTATTCTTTTACAACAAAACTTAAAAAACGTTTTTATAATTTTATTTAAGTTCATATTCTTTTATAAAATTTATATTTAAACTTAAATTTAGAGTTAAATTTGAGTTTAAATTTACTCTTCAATTCGAGTTCATAAATTCGAACGCAAGTTAATAAACAATATATTTTTTTCTTAAAAATATTATAACTTCATCGTTTTAATTTCGATTGCATTCACAACGAAAAGACGAATAAAACCATACTCATATACCTTATTAAAATTTTTCATCACCATTGAGTTTTTATTAAAATACTATTTAAATACAAATTTAAGTTTTGACCAACCCAAACACAAACTCAAAAAGATTCTCAATTCAAATCATAACTCAAATGTGCATATTTAAACACAAACTCAAATTACAGCTTCAACTCAAGTTATAACTTAAACTCAACTCAAGATTATCACTCAAATCACCCTCACTCAAAAATATAAAAGAACAACCCCATAGTCTCTTACTAGATAATTTGTCCATTTAGTTCGTTGATTCGAGTTTTTAGTTCGAGTTAAGATGTGATTTTATATAATAATTTTTTACTGCAATAAAAAAATTAAATATGATTGTTTTTAATAGTTTTTTACGGTAGTAAAAGGAGCTTTTTACTGTAATAAAATTTAAATTCTAAATTCAAATTAGTAAAATAAACGAAATCTTAATTTTTTTAAAAAATACTTATGATCAATGACCGAGGTCGCCAAATATGTTAAAGAGCAAGTCAACAATGATTAATTTGTTTCCATATATATCGATCGTAATCCAGCTCAGGATCTCTACAAATATGGTATTAGCCCATAGATTGGGGGATTTTATTTTATTTCTTTTTCTTGTATATATACATACACCTGTAAGTCACGATGAATAAATATATCAGAGCAGCACTAAAAAATCCAATTTTATAAATTTCTGATGCCGATCTCGTCTTCAACTACTCATTGGTGCATAGATCTGATTTGCCTCATCTTCTTCAGCAAAAATTATTTATTTTCGTTCAAGTTTCGTCGCATTTTTCTCCATCGACGCACATATCTAATTTTTAGCTTCTTCTCCCACGTCGACGTGATCTGCCGCATCTTATCCGATGAAAATGTCATGCTAGACAGGGTCTTCTTGGCCAAGCTGTTAATGGAAATTGTAAACATCAAACAATTTTTATTTTATTTTATTTTTTAAGCAGATCCAAGTAAACGCAAGTCGTTTCGAAATAATTTCCAAATCTGTTAAAGAGCAAGTCAACCATGATTAATTTGTTTCCATATATATATATATATCAATCGTAATCCAGCTCAGGATCTCTACAAATATGGTATTAGCCCATAGATTGGGGGATTTAATTTTATTTCTTTTTCTTGTATATATACATACACCTGCAAGTCATGATGAATAAATATATCAGAACAACACTGAAAAATCCAATTTTATAAATTTCTGATGCCGATCTCGTCTTTAACTACTCATTGGTGCATAGATCTGATTTGCCTCATCTTCTTTAGCGAAAATTATTTATTTCCGTTTAAGTTTTGTCGCATTTTTCTCCATCGGGACATAGATATGATTTTTAGCTTCTTCTCCTGCGTCGACGTGATCTGCTGCATCTTATCCGATGAAAATGTCATGCTGGACAGGGTCTTCTTGGCCAAGCTGTTAATGGAAATTGTAAACATCAAACAAATTTTTTATTTTATTTATTTTTTAAGCAGATCCGAGTAAACGCAAGTCATTTCGAAACAATTTCTAAATCTGTTAGAGAGCAAGTCAATAATGATTAATTTGTTTTTATATATATCGATCGTAATCCAACTCAAGATCTCTACATATATGGTATTAGCCCATAGATTGGGGGATTTGATTTTATTTCTTTTTCTTGTATATATACATACACCTATAAGTCATGATGAATAAATATATCAGAGCAGCACTGAAAAATCCAATTTTATAAATTTCTAATGTTGATATCGTCTTCAACTACTCATTGGTGCATAGATCTGATTTGCCTCATCTTCTTCAGCGAAAATTATTTATTTCTGTTCAAGTTACATCGCATTTTCTCCATCGGGGCACAGATCTGATTTTTAGCTTCTTCTCCCTCGTCGACGTGATCTGCCGCGTCTTATTCGATGAAATGTCATGCTGGACAGGGTCTTCTTGGCCAAGCTGTTAATGGAAATTGTAAACATCAAACAAATTTTTTTATTTTATTTTTTAAGCAAATCCTAATAAACGCAAGTCGTTTCGAAACAAATTAATCCAACTGCGTCGTTGTAGTAGTGCAAGCCACTTATCATGTGCGCTCGACTCTACCTCCAATTCTGAAAATAGTGGGACCCATCACAAATCTAACCACACATAGTCATTAGATTGGACCCTACCGGTAAGGACAAAACATGCCCCCTGCCATAGACGTGCCCTATTACTTTAGGGTGGGTTTTGAATTTTGAACGTATTTTACTGTTTTTCTGATTTTTGTAGTTAAAAGAGAAAAGGGAGGGAAAAGATAAAAATACATCCATGTACAGAATAAAACATGTCGTATGTGTACACGATATGCATGTATGTATTTGTAGAATACTTGAGAATACCAACCGTGTTAACGGTTAATATAAGTTGGGTCTTGCATGTAAGCTCCATGCTAGGGAGTAGGGACTCATTTCTATTAATAAGTGGTGTCGAACTTGGCAGTTTATAATTTTGTTATTTAGGGCCCGGTTAAAAGATTCGGGTTCATAATTCGGAATCAAATGCAAGAATCCATGTTTGGATCCATTTTTTAGTCCGTTGGGTTGGAATCAGGGTTTGAATCCCCAAGCGGTTTTTGGGTCTTGATTGCAAATCAGCCCCCCCTTGATTCAGCCCAACTTCAATCCTTCTGCACAGTGCACAAACAGTAACAGTCCTGTCTAGATATTCGATTTTCCCACTTAGCCAATCTTCTTCTCGAACTCTCCAAGTTTCAATCCAAAATTTCTCACTCGCAAGCGAAGAAAAAACCGTTTCGAGCTCAATTTTTCCGAGAACCAAACGCACATCTATCAACTGATCATCAAGGTGACAGAAGCAAGTTTCCGAGCGCTCAATTTCACGAAGTATCCATGCCTTGAGAATTCACGAAGAACCCTAGCTTCATCATTTTCTGTCGGGGAAAAATGGACAATGAAACCGAAATCTTCTCGCGCCTAGCCGCGAACCACCTGTTCCTCGCCCAATTCGAACCTCTCAGGGCGATAATCCACGCTCTACGAGCCAAGGACCCCGAGCTTGCCCTCACCGTGCTCCAGACGATCGTCGCTCGCTCCGGGCGGTTCGAGAACGTTCTGTGGTCTTCCTCGTGTGCGTCGCCATCTCTTTTCACGTACTTGGTGACTCTCGAGCTTCTACAATTCGACAACGCCTCGTCGGTTTGGAGCTTCGATCGCGAGACGCTGTGATTGCGAGCCGAGTTTTTGTTACTGGTTCAGCACCTGATCGACTGGGTTTCGGAGACTATGAGGAAGAATTTCGATTTGGAGAGCATCGGTAAAGAGAGAGAAAGCGAGAGCTTCGAGGAGAGAGGAGAGTCATTGGATAAGAGTGAGGATAAAAGCGACGATTTGAGAGCTGCGAGCGGCGAATGGGACAGAGCCGTCGGAGTTTTGGACATAATTTTGGAGTTGGGAGTGAAGAGGTTGAAGGCTGATGTAGTTGTACACGATGGTGATGACGATAATCATCTCTGAATCAGGCCATTGCAATCGAGGAAGCCGAATTCGTGTCCTTGTGGAAGGTAATTTGGGAGTATTCGGATGCATTGTGTTTGAATATACAGAAGCAATTGAGAGGCTGGGAAGGCTATGACTCTTCTGGTTTAGCAATAATGCCGCGGACGGACGGGAATGCGGTTGTGGAGACGTCTGGGGAAGAAGAAGAGGATGTGAAGATTCTTGGTTTGATACAAAGGAGTGTCCAATTAGCTCATTTAGATGCCATTAGAGATTGTGTTAAAGAGGGTAATGTGAATGAAGCTGTTTCGCACATTCGCTTTCTTAATCTTATTACAGAGTTGAGGAGTCCGAGTATCGGTAAGCCTGTTAAACTAGCTTCTATCTTGGACTTTGATTTTTTGCAGCATTTGTGTTTCTTTTGCTGCTCTATACCAGTTTATATGTAGGAAGTTTGAGAAACTTGTGAAACAGAAAAATTTAAAACTAATGGGTGTAGATTATATAGACTCTCTTTTAGCTACTAGGCCCGTGCCATTTTGGTTTGCTTTAGGTATGATTGATAAGAAGACAGTTATAACTTATAATAGCTCCTGTTTATGTAAAATTTGAAATGGTAGGTCATTCATTGGTGGCCTCTTAGGTGTGGCATTCATGGTGTTTCGATGTCCAATTTTGTGCTTTGTTAGCTTTTAATTGCCTATGCCTGGTTGGAGTGCAAATTGTTATTTGATGGCTATATCCCATTTATGAACTTCATAGATTTAGCTGAGCTAGGTATGTTATAAACACGTTAGGTATTACATATATATATATATATATTTATAAGAAATAGAAAATTTATTGAAAGAATAAAGATATTCGTATCTTGGGTTCACTGTTACATTGGATAAAGTTTTCCTGTTTACTCTTTCTTTCTACCAGTTAGAAATTCGAAATAGACATTGCGTCCTTCTATGTTTTTTGTTTTTTTGTTTTTTTGTTTTTTTGTTTTTTTGTTTCCTCCTTTTCTCTAGGCATTCACTTTGGATGTTTTACAGCATTATATTACTGGATCTCCTGAAGGTTGTTTCTCTGGGAAGGGAGGGATATGGGGACTCCTGGCATGCCAAGAGAGAAAAGTTGTTGATGATTTATGGTGCAGCTCTTGTATCAAATTGCAGACGTCTCAGCCAGATGACAACAACCAGATTCCACCCCCTCTTGAATGTTTCCAGAGATATGTTGTAGAGTTGGAACTTGATTCAGATTTTGACAGAACCTTGTCCCTAACCAATGCAGTCATTTCTTGTACAAGAGACATGTACCATTATGCTCGTGTGTCTTGAAAACACGTTCTTGAATGTTTCCCTGACTTCAGCCTCTGGTAGCTACCATGGGTTGGGATTTGTTTACAAAAATTATGCTATTTACTTCTTATCTTTAAACTTTATGCTATTATTTTTATGCTTTCTCCATGGTGAGACCCCCTATAAAAATCCCATCAGCAATGGTCAGATCTGGAGAGAGAATAGTTTTGTGCGGCGCGCCGTAACAGCAATGGGAATTTACCTTTGGTACTTCATAATTCGTGTATTCATTATTGTAAACAAAAATTTTTGACGTTCTTAATATTTCGTGTGTTTGCATTTATTTGTCTCTAATATTTCGTTTTCTTACTTATATACCGAATTATATTTTTTAAAATTACACGTAACGTAATTTTTAGGGCCAAATGTGGTTATTATTTTTGTCATGGTTTAAAATCATAAAACAACACAACCAAATACTAGTTCGAATCATGATTCAAGTTAGAATCAGAATCATGCTTGCACACATCCAAACAAAGGTTCGAATCACCATGAATCATGATTCAAATCATGAATCATGATTCTGAATCCAAACACTCAAATCACCCTGATTTCAATTCTTATACCAAACGGACCTGATGTTGTAGTAGGTAGCAACTATACGTTGCAGAGTATGTCCTCCTCTACATTGAAAAGAAAAAAGTAGAAATTAGTAGAAACAAGTAAACACCTTATTTTTGGAATGTGCATACCTTTAAAAGGCATTTTTTTAGCCTTATGATTTCACATTTTAAATTTCATTGTTCTTTTAATTAGTTTCATAAATTCTCGTCGAATATCAATTTGCTCAAAATTGAGAGAATATCAACCTATGAATTTTCTCTTAATTCTATTTTGGTTCACGATTTTTTAAATGTTTCACAATTGGTTTCTAATCTATTATTTTGTTTCAATTTTAATCATTCTGTTGGTTAGGTGTTAAATATTTAATAAAATTTATTAAAATCATAGACCAAAAAAAATTTAAAGTTTATAGACTAAAACAATATAAAAACAAAGTTAATTTTTATAAATAATCCTTAAATGTTAGATGCTTTTAATTTTGATCCTTAATTTTTATAAATTTCATCAAATATTTACCACGTGACACCTAGCTAACAGAAAAACTGAAATTGAAATAAAATAATAAATTCGGAACTAATTGTGAAACATTTTAAAAGGTAGAGATGAAAATAAGATTAAGAGTAAACCTGAAGGACCGTTAGCGCAATTCTGGGTGCGTTTGGAATTATTTTTGAAAACGTTTCTGCACGTCTTTTGAGGCACGAAAACAAAAACAATCCACAAATTGTATTTATTTAATAAAAGTTTTTGAAAACGGAAACGCAAACAAAAAACCAATGAGAATGATTTTTATGAAAAAAGTAGAAATGATTGAAAGTTGTTTTCCCTTTTCAATTTTCATTTTCTAGTACTTATCAACAAAGTTATATTAGATAATTAATTATTAGTTATATTAATTATTAATTAATAATTAGTAAATAGATATACTTAATAACTAAAAAATAGATAGTAATTACTTAACTATTAATTAAATATTAATTTATTACTATTAAGTTTTTAATTTTATTAATAAAATAATAAATAATATAGTAATTAAGTATTTAGTTAAAGATTAATAACCAAAATTTAATTATATAACATTGGTATGAGGGTTCAAACCATGATGATTCTAGTTTTGATTTTGGAACCAGAACTATAATTCATGATTTTGAGTCCAAATCATGGTTCTGAAACCAGAACTAGAATTAGGAGTTTGAATTACCCAAAACCCGGGGATAGTTTTAGAATCATGGGTGATTTATGGTTTAAAACATCACATTATGGTTCAAACCTTTAATCAAAACCATCTAAACCAAACACTAATTTTGAGTGAGTCAAATCAGAACCATTTTTTACTTTTTATAAGCAAACACTAGTTTGAACCAGACTCATGGTTCCGGGTTCAGAACCCTTATACCAAACAATACCTAACAATGAAACAAGTAATAATACGCTATTAATTAAATAATTAATAATGAATATATCAATCATATATTATGTTAATTATAATATATTAGTAAGTAAATAGTTGGTAAATAAAAAATAAATAGTAATTAATCAATTAATAATTAATATTAAATTATAATTATCAATATGTAATATACTAATCAATAATAATTAATAATTAATAATTAGTAATTAATCATTATAAAAAGAATAATTATTAAAAATTGACGTGATATATCAAATATAGATTATTAAATAAACATTAATAATTAATTAATTATGTAACTAAAAATTAATAATTCAAGTAGTAAATAGAATATTAATAAATTGTATTTACTAATTATTTTTCTTAATACACTAATTAATTACTTATTAGATACTCGCATATTAATTTATTAATATATAGTTGAATTATTAATGTATTCATTAATGATAATTTATCTATTATTATTATATTATTAATATATTAATTTTTATTTGCTAAATAATAATAATTATTAATGCCTTAATATATTAATTTAAGATTATTAATTACATGTACTTAAAATAAACATAAATATAACCAAATACGATTTAATTTTTTTATCATACTCAAATTAATTTATTAAAAGACTACCAAACATAATTTTAAAATTGATTTTAAAATAATTTTTAAAATAATCTCATTTTTATTTTTTCTCAAAAATAAAATTATTTTAGAAACATTACCAAACATGCTCATATGCCAAAATCCAAATCGAGTTTGAACCGACTCGGAGTCCGATCCAAATAAATCATCCGTAAAATAAACCCATCTCCCGCTCACTCGGCCCTTTCTTCCTTCTCTCTCCCTTTCCTCTCGCCAGTCCGCCACCACCGCCGCCGCCATGTCCAATAGAGCCAGAAACTTCCGCCGCCGCACTGGCGGCGACGACGATGACGACGACAACTACAACATCAAGGATTCCAACGCCAAAAACGGACCGTCCACCACCACCGCCACAACCACAACAACTAAGTCGCTTCTAAAACCCTCGTCCACATCCGCTTCGAAGCCCAAGAGGCCGCCCAACCAATCGACGAAGCTCCTCAGCTTCGCCGACGACGAAGACAACGAAACCCCTTCCCGCTCCAAACCCTCCTCTTCCTCCAAGCTCTCCTCTTCCTCTTCTCGCCTCTCCAAGCCCACGTCTTCTCACAAGATGACTGCTCTCAAAGACCGTCTCCCTCACTCCTCGTCTTCTTCTCCTTCTTCTTCCTCTCTATCTCTTCCCTCCAATGTCCAGCCTCAGGCCGGGACTTACACCAAAGAAGCCCTCCGCGAGCTCCAGAAGAACACCCGAACCCTCGCCAGCTCCAAACCTTCGTCGGAGCCCGTCATTGTTCTCAAAGGTCTACTCAAGCCGTCGGAACTGGCGAAGTCCGACTGGAAATTGGACTCCGAGGAGGAAGACGAGCCGGACGAGCTCAAGGAGAGGAGGGGCGAATTGGCGTCGATGGAGATTGGGGCGAAGGGGAGGGATAGGGATAACTCGTCTCCGGAGCCGTTGATTCCCGATCAGGCCACGATTAACGCGATTCGGGCGAAGAGGGAGCGGCTCCGGCAGTCGCGGGCCGCTGCGCCGGACTTCATCGCGCTGGACGCAGGGAGCAATCACGGGGAGGCGGAGGGGCTGAGCGACGAGGAGCCGGAGAATCAGACACGAATTGCGATGTTCGGGGAGAAGGCAGAGGGGCCGAAGAAGGGCGTGTTCGAGGACGACATTGATGACAGGGGGATTGAATTGGGGTTGCTGAGGAGGAAACAAGGTGTTTTGGAGGAGAATCACGAGGATGATGAAGATGAGGAGGACAAGATTTGGGAGGAAGAGCAGTTCAGGAAGGGGCTTGGGAAGACGAGAATTGATGATGGTGGTAAAAATAGTGTTGTTCCTGTGGTTAAGAGAGAGACTCAACAGAAGTTTGTGAGCTCAGTTGGGTCACAAACTTTGCCTCCTAGTGCTAGCATTGGAGGGACATTTGGAGGGTCATCTGGAGGGTCATCAACAGGTTTAGGATTGGGGATGATGCCGTTTTCTCAGCAAGCTGAGATTGCCCTGAATGCTATCGATGACAATGTGAGGAGACTTAAGGTAAATTTATGAGCTTTCTTTGATTTCCCTTCTGATATTATGCTAGAACTTGTGCGTTGTTTGATTTAGACTTCTAATAGTATGGAATTTAGTTTAACTTGGGAATGGTTTGATTGCAATATGTTTATTTTAGGCTTCATCAGATGGGAATTGGTTTCATCAGATGGGAATATGTTGATTGCAATATGTTTATTTTAGGCTTCATCAGATGGGAATTGGTTTCTTTGTGTTGATTATGGATCGTAAGTAGGCAGAAGAAAGAGGGTTGAGAAAGCTCTAGAATGAACATTTTCGAGTGGTATTCGAATTCTTAGATTGTTGGAAGCTTGACATGCCGGGCTTGGAATCTACAAGCTTTTTTTGGTTGGATTCTAGATTGAGTTATCTGAGGCTGTAGGAGTTTGTCTCACTTTCTTGTTTACTCCCCCCCTCTTCCCAGTGAATAAATTGTCCTTTGTTCATTAAACAAGTTTTGGTAAGAAAAACTAGTAGTCCTGGGAGTTGTGTGCTTATAGTTGGATTGTTTTTTCCGTGATTGGGCACACACTTATTTAATTTAGTTTTCTATCCTCTCAGGAAACACATGACCAAGATTTGGTGTCGCTGAATAAGGCTGACAAAAATTTGTCTGATTCACTATTGAATATTACTGCTCTTGAAAAGTCTCTTTCTGCTGCTGATGAGAAGTACAAATTCACGCAAAAGCTTCGTGATTTTATTTCTATTATATGTGACTTTCTTCAGGTATGAACTTAAATTCATAGTATGGTTTTCTTGAATTTGCCTGCTTACTGTGCATATTTTGAATTCATTGTTTTCCCTCCCGTATTCTTTTTTTGGGTTTTGTATTCTCCGTCTCTATCTTTCTTTGAACAATTTGATGTAAAACTCTCATGGGAAGCACCCAAGTAACAATGAGACATATGGAAGAGCTGAAAACATACAAAGGAAATTCAACGTGGAATAAAAACTGTTTTCAATATTAAACGTGTTAAGAGTCTGGTGAAGTTGAAGGAGGAAAAAATCTTTGTTTTGTGGAGTTAGGAAATTGACACCCGATCCTGTTGGATTGAATATGAACTGACTACATTGGTAGGTGAATGGCTTTCCGGCTGATTTTTCAGCGGAGAAGACATTTTAATCCATATTGACCAAAGACCTCTTATGTAATAGGAGATTCAATTTTGTTTTTATTTTTATTTTTAACTTCTCTAGATATTGTGGTTTGAAAGGGCAATTTATCCTTTTCATTGTGCTTTAAATGTCCCTAAGTGATGCATTGCTCGTCAATGACCTGTATTCTTATTGGCGTTCTTTATCACTTTACAGCATAAAGCTCCCTTTATCGAGGAACTTGAAGACCAAATGCAGAAGCTTCACGAAAAACATGCATCAGCTATTGTAGAAAGAAGAACTGCAAATAATGATGATGAAATGATGGAGGTAGAAGCAGAGGTTAACGCGGCAATGTCTATTTTTAGCAAAAAAGGTAGCAATGTCGACGTAGTTGCTGCTGCCAAAAGTGCTGCACAAGCTGCGTCTGCTGCCTTAAGAGAACAGGGAAATCTCCCTGTGAAGTTAGATGAATTTGGCAGAGATATGAACCTGCAGAAACGTATGGAGATGAAAGGGAGGGCGGAGGCTCGTCAATGCAGAAAAGCTCGGTTTGATTCGAAGAGATTATCCTCCATGGATGTGGATGGTCCCTATCAGAGAATGGAAGGAGAATCAAGCACTGATGAGAGTGACAGTGAGAGTACAGCATTCGAGTCACACCGTGAACTGTTGCTCCAGACTGCTGCTCATATTTTCAGTGATGCATCTGAGGAATATTCCCAACTTTCGGTAGTTAAGGAAAGGTTTGAAGAATGGAAGAGAGAGTATTCATCGACATACAGTGATGCTTACATGTCATTGAGTGCTCCTTCTATATTCTCACCATACGTGAGACTGGAGCTATTGAAGTGGGATCCACTGCATGAGAAAACGGATTTCTTAAATATGAATTGGTATCTTACTTGAACTTACTGCTAATTTACTTCAATGCCAAATACTTTCTTAAGTTTATAGTAAGACTTGTCTGTCTTTGTATGTTTTCATTTAAATAAGATGGAGGCTGTAATGCAATCTACAAGGGTACTTGCTTCTAAGTTCTATCCTTGATTATGATAATCCTTCAGTTTATTTCCATTATACAAGGAAGTATAGGAATAGAAGGGTTGGGCTGTAAAGTGTGGCTGTGACTTCTAAATAAGGCGTGTGTTGGTTATTAGTTGGTTAATAGGTGTTATTATGCGGCTCTGCGAGTGTGAACTGTGTGGATAGGTGATTTTACTGTTTCTGTTAATGTCAGTAGGGGGTTATAAGGGGTTAGTTAGGAATTAGTTTGGTAAGAGAAGATTCTGGTGTCACCATATCTGGGAGAATCCAAGAAGGGAGAGAGGTAGAACTCTTGAAACGTTTACCACCACCATTGTTTGGGTTTGTGAGGTGCAATTGAGAGTTTTTGTAATCTTTTTTATTTTTTTTAGCAATAAAAATCCCATTACATTCAATTTTGCTTGTTCAAGTTAGAGTTCTATCGGATTGCTCTGACTCTGAGTTTGTTTTTCCCTTACTTAGGCATTCATTGTTAATGGATTACGGTGTGCCAGAAGATGGGGGTGGTTTTGCACCTGATGATGCTGATGCAAACCTTGTTCCTGAACTGGTAGAAAAGGTTGCCCTCCGCATTTTGCATCATGAAATTGTCCATTGCTGGGACATGCTAAGCACACTAGAGACAAGGAACGCAGTTGCTGCCACAAGTTTGGTAACAGATTATGTTCCAGCTTCTAGCGAGGCTCTTGCTGATTTATTAGTTGCGATTCGAACTCGTCTAGCTGATGCTGTTGCCAATCTTACGGTATTACTTTTTTATTATCAAACTACAGGTTTGCTAAATATGAACGCACACAAATATTTTTACATTCTTACCATTTGTTTGGTGCTGCTGCATTTTTTTTTCAATCCATACTATGTAAGCATGCTTGTTTATTTAACTGATGTTTTTGTTTTCTTGTTATCTTATAAGTGTTAGACATCATGATGTCCGAAATCATTATGCTCATTATGTCAAATCTTTACTACATTTCATAGGTTCCAACATGGAGCCCGCCGGTACTGCAAGCTGTGCCCAATGCTGCGCGTCTTGCCGCATATCGCTTTGGTGTGTCTGTTCGGTTGATGAAAAATATCTGCTTGTGGAAAGAAATCCTAGCATTGCCAGTTCTGGAGAAGCTTGCACTTGATGAGCTTTTGTGTGGAAAGGTTCTACCTCATGTTCGAAGTATTGCAGCAAATGTTCATGATGCAATCCCAAGAACTGAAAAGATAGTTGCTTCTTTATCTGGGGTCTGGGCAGGTCCAAGTGTCACTGGGGATCGCAGGTACGGTTAATGATTATTATTACTTTTTTTTTTTTTTTTTAATGGGCCTGTACTTCCTGGTTAAGAGACAATTTTTTCCCTTGTAAAAACAGAGGGCAAAAACTACCAAATTTTATTGGTTTCATAAGTTGATTATTTTTAACAACATTATTTTATGCTGCTTCTAATGTAATTACGTGCAAATATTCTTATAAGCTCTCTCGACATAAATGTGTGCAGCCGAAAGTTGCAACCCTTGGTGGATTACCTGATGCTACTTAGAAAAATTCTGGAGAAGAAGCATGAATCGGGTGTGACAGAGAGTGAAACTAGCGGACTTGCACGTAGGTTGAAGAAAATGTTGGTCGAGCTCAACGAATATGACAAAGCTAGGGATATAGCTAGGACCTTCCATTTGAAGGAGGCATTGTGAATTTCAAGATGCTTAAAGGAACTGCTGGAGAGTTGGGAGAACAGATTGCAAAAAGGAAAGGGTCATCTTAGAGACCAATCTGGAGAATGCACTTTGGTAAAACTAAAACCGCTGTTTTATCTTGAAAATTAAATTTCAAGATGACCCCCTCTCCTTTGTCCCGAGGGATCGCGATCAGCCGAAAGTTGTGATGAATTTGTAAGTCCTCTCTCTCTCACACTCTGCCATGATGCTTCGACCAGAATGTTGACTTCCACAATGAGCCATGAGTTTTTCTCATTTGTGCACATGGTTTTCCCAGAATTTTTGGGTTGAGGATTAACTTAAAATTGCGGAAGGGGGTGTTCAATTCTTTCATCGATATTACAACTTGAGCAAAGAGTTGACACTTTTTCCTGTTACTGTGTAGCGTGCTTAATAGCCATAGTTTTTGAAAGTTTTCTGATAGCAATTTTTGGCCATAATAACATAATGTAAGAATATTTTGTCCTTGGCCAGTGTGCCGAACCTCATTGTAGGAGCATAATATTACAAGTTGAAGAAATGAATATTTTAAAGTCAAGAGGAAAAGCTTACATTCATGGGGAAGGAAATGAACATGCTACACATGGTTGCTCACTCACTTGTACTAGTAATTCTCGCCTCAATCTTCTTACTTTTTATTTAATCTTTGCCGTCCATAATCGTGGTTCTCATAACATCGTCAGTCAGCAATTTTGATTATGGCTCCGAGGATTAGACTGCACGCAAAACGTTTTAATAAATATGCCAGTAATTTAAACACGAACATGGAACGTTTATTGCATAAATAACACAGCATAACATTCGAACATGTCGGGCTGTGATGAGTTGACAAGAGAAAAAAAAAACAAAAAAATGTCTACGATGCGTTTCTGATTGAACTAACAGGAATATGAATTATGGGTGTATAATTTCTCCTAACTGGAATCGTAGAAAATTAATTTTTTATTTTTTAAACTAACATTAATTGACCATTTAATATTAATTATAACTAAGTTTATTTTATATATGGTAATAAACGGGCGGTTTTTTGCCATGGGAAGCCACACCTTCGAGAGTATTATTATTATTATTATTTTTATGTATATTTCGTTAAAATATGTGATTGGTCCTAAAAGCTCAAAATTATATACGTATCTATGTATATCTGCCTACTTGATGTGTCATCACATTTAAGACTTATATAATTAAACGTGTTAAGTGAGTTGATTCAAATTTAACCTAATAAATTTTGGCTACATTTATTAAAAGGGTTCATACTTTCTTTCTTCCTTTTTTTTTTTTTATAAAAGAAAAAGTGAACTTTTATTAATCAGAGAGCAAATCAGCCTTTACACGAGGGCTAAGAAAACTTTGGTAAAGACTAAAAAAGAGAAAATTTTAAAATGCACACATGTAAAATTAGCAAAACAGTGGGCGACGTAGTTCCTTTGTTTAGGGGCGACAGAGCCACTATTAGTTTGGAAAAGAGAAAAAAAAAACATCCTTTTGTTAATTTTATGAATGGAAACTACACGTGTTTAGTTGGGAAAAGTTTGAAAACCATATTATGCAATAATTATTTTGAATTGAACCTCAAAGGTGATTTTAGCATAATTGTTTTTATTGGCTGAGTATGAAAAAGCGCTTTTAACTTCTTCATAAAATTTTGTTATATTATCGTACTTACCTTAATCTAAAATAAATCTAATACGACCTCATAAATAAAGATTGTGTATTACTGATTTTTATATCCTACCACATAATTCTGCTAGGGTAAGATAATATAAGAAAACAATTCCTTTTCATCTTCTTCACCTTTTCTTTCTATCTCTGCTAGATTTACTACTTAGAGGAAATATAAAACTTAAAATCATCTCCATAATTTTATACTCCCCACCTCTTCCAAAAATCCGTCATAGCTAGATTAAGCTCATCACTCTCACAACGTATTATCCTTTTGTCTCTCTTTTGAGGTTTTCATTGGCTTTTCTAATATGTACATCCCTAGCTTCTTGTCTCTATTTACAATGCAAGCAAGAAGAAGAAGCAATAGAATGTGAGTGTGTGTGTGTGTTTTTTTTTTTACTATATGTTTTTCGTTTGACTATTTTTTTTTTTTTTTACTCCATGACCTTGCTAAATGGACTTACTTCTGTGCCATCTTTCATGTGTCGTTAGTTCACTTCCAACTAATTCGTATTCATATATGTGTGTGTATATATATATATATATACCGATATGGAATTTCTGCAGTACAGTATTTTTAATGGTTTTTTAATCCTTTGATATAGTCAATTATCAGTACCTCTTCATGCTAACCACAAACATTTTTTTTTCCCGATCCATGTGATTCATATGTGTAATAATTTAATACGTATAAGGTAGGTCTACGTAATTGTTTTTGGCTTCATGAGTCTAAAACCTGTTTTAAGAGGTTTGGGATGATTTTCTATTAGTGCTTTAGCACTCCAAATAAAAGCTTCGGCCAAAACTTTCCATTAATAATGCTCTTCTAAGCAGATCTTGCGGGTCTCAATAAGACTTCGTTAATTTTTGTTTTTTTGAAGAGAAATAAGACTTCATTAATTTCATTCTAACATTTCCATAAAAAAATGTGGTTTCAATCAAAGTCATAGTTTTTATTTCTCTTCTTCTATCTACTAGGGTTAGTTTAGGTCAATTTTGTATTCTTGTAGCTTTTGAAACAATATCCGATAGATGTGATGGATTAAAAAGTATTCGGTAAATGATAATTCTAAATTGCTATGTGCTTCCCCCTGGTGGTGGAGGCACAGAGATAAAGATGTCTTATCTTAGTCTCTCTCATTCATACGTTTAGTTTATGGATTAGAATCATGAGATTAGAACCATTTTCGATTTACGTGTATTTTTTGTGAGAGAAAACACTGTAGCGAACTATAAATCATGATTCGAATCAATGTACGAATCCCCCTACCAAACAAAAACTTAGGGTTTGAATCTCGGAGTTTCAACATTACAAATGACAATGCTTATCTTTGGGTGGGTATAAGAGGTCTGTGGTGGACTAGCCGTGAAATTTGGATTGTGAAAGGGTGGAGAAGGTTTAAGTTTTTTACCATAGCACCGATAATACCTGCTGATTCTTTTTATAGGTGTTAGATGGGAGTGTAAGGAAGCCACCGATCCCCTTTTAACTAGCAAAAAAAGATTGTTATGTGCTTATAAAATGGTCAGAAAGACATGATAACAAAATGTTTTATAATTATATTATAAAAAAATGAATAAAATGATATTCATATTTTGCCGTATTATTTAATATGAACATTTCAACTGCAATTATTTTGGGTTTTTAAATTAAAAAAATAAAAAGAATGTTTCAGCATAATCTTATGCTTGGGCGAGACCCAAAAACGAAATCTGATCAAAATATTTAGCACAATATTTTGCCAAACCCAATCTTCCCCACCTACAATCTAAACACTTAGAAGATCTTCAATGATCCTAAATCCAAATTTTTCCTCATGCCCTGAACAAGGGACAAAGTAAAAAAAAAAAAAAAAAGGAGTTAAATCAAAATTTTAAAATAAATTAAAGGGTGTAAATATTTTTTTTCCAAGAAAATTCTGCATAAAATTCATAATTAGAAAATTTTAGGCCGTAAAGTAATGAATTTGAAATCAATTTAAGAGGTATAAATGAAATATTTTTAAAATATCCAACAAAAGTTTTGAAATGCAGGCAATAGCTTAACTGAAATGGTTCTGGCAAACAAACAGGATCAGAACAACACTCTAAATTCTCCTTCCAAGTTCCGGCTATTAATACATGTGTTTTTACATACATGGAGTTGCGCGACATGTATATAACACATACACATATTTATACATGTATAAATAATATGAACAGAGACTAAAATAGTGATTCAAACATTTGTAGATACTAATTTATGAAATTGACAATATAGCAAGTAGTCATGTAACAATTATTTTTCATTCTTCGGTTCTTGATTTATAAGATGCACGAACACACTAAATGACACTTAATGTGATCATAATAATATTTATTTTAGTTGCAACATCGTGATTTAAGGCTAGCCGTGGCTAAAATCTTGGAACGAATTTGCACTTGCTAACTCGTGGAGAAAAGTTAGTGTCCTTTATATTACTTAATTTTAAGGAAATTTCTCTAGCAGGCACTAAAAAAATGAATTACAGAAAAAAATTTTGTTTTCAGCCGTTAAATCTACATAAAAAACTGTATGTTTTGTGTATTTTTTTTTAATCTCATGTAATGTTAACTTAATTTGACAGCTAAAGACTAGCTCTATCGATAAGAAGACTCTACTAGAGAATGATCGTTCTATAATAAGTATAATATTAATAGTAAAGCTCCTAGGGTCAAGCTTTCTATTTTTTTTTTTCAGTGTATAAACATTGTGAATCAGTTTATGAAGACATTTGTCTAATAAACAGAAAAAGAGAATTATTGAGGAAAAACCCCATGAACCCCCTAACTAATTATAAGTTATTATACACCCAAATTTCCAGAAGGTAGCGAATTTTCAATACATGTGAGCCTCCAAAAAGAAGTTTGATTTTTCGGCATGCGTCTTTGCAGTAAATATTGCCATGTAATATAATTAGCAGTTATTATGGTTACTAGTTAAAGACCAAAAATTTTCCTCTAAAAATCGTCACACCCAACCTAAGGGAGAAAAAAAAAAAAAAAAAAAAGAATAACCATTTTTGGTGTCCTTAGGAAATTTAAAGGGTACCAAACTACCAATATATAATAGTCTCCTTGACTTGGCAGAGTCATTATCCAATTCCTGAATCACATAAACGCCAGTTATTTTTCTTTTTGCTAAAAATAAATGGCAGTTAATTAACAATTCTGATTTTGGATTCTGATGCTAATTAAGCACCATCTTATTCCAACCTCAATAGTCAATATGGTCACTTATACCTTCAATTATTGCTCATCCTTCCATTTTTCTTTTCTGCTGAAACTAATTGCCTGAAAAGCAAAAGTAGTAAACTTTTAGCTATCATCGTTCATATCTAATTAATTAAAAAAAAAATCTAACCTTATCACGATCACACGCATCATATGTACTACTGTATATAATATACCAAAATATATGATCCGCGCAAACAGCTTAATTCTGATCTATCAGTCAAAGGAAGCCAAACAACATGCCCACAAAGAGTAAGCGAGCTAAAAGTCAAACGGCACAGAAAAAACATTAATTCCTAAAGAAAATAGAATTTAAAATAACATATCTAACTATATAATATAAGGTCACAACAAAATTGGGTTGCTTTTGTTTGAAGAAGGGTAGCTAAAATATTTATATATTGATGATGTCCACTTCATTAGCTATTATTCGTTACCTACCAAATTTCTCCAACATAGAGGCAACTTTTTTGTCACACCCCTTTAAAGCCCAATATTTCGTCCCTCTTTCTCCCTTTCTAAAGAGCTCACAAAATCAAAGGGAGAGAAAACATACGCGTGTGTGTGTGAACTAAAAGAGCAGAAGGTGGTGAAACCATTTTATTACTGAACACTTCAATTTTCAAATTAGGGAACTAGCAAAGATGACTGTGTCCACTTGTGTCTCCACAGCTAAGAATAGTGGCCGAGTCCTCATTGTTGGGGCTACCGGACTCATTGGCCAGTTCATCGCAGACGCTAGCCTTCGTGCCGGCCGGCCTACCTACGTTCTACTCCGGCCTGGCTTCGGTAATAACCCTTCCACCAAACCTGCTACTCTCAAGGTTTTTCAAGATAAAGGAGCCACACTTGTGCATGTAATATAAATCTCTCTCCCCCTCCCTCTTTTCTTCCTATATTTCTTTAAAGTTTACACAAAATGGGGACTTGTGTGTGTTATATCACGGAAAAATGCTTGTGAGCACTATTAGTGTTATAGACTACGATAAATAAAAAGTGAATCTTATTATATCTATTATCTATTAATATGCAGCGCTTAACATAACTAGTGTCTTTTAGTATTATTGTATATCACAAGTTAATTAATCAATTTGTTTCTTGTTTTTGTTTTTTTAAATCTTTAGGGTTTAATTAATGAGAAAGAAACGATGGAGAAGATATTGAAGGAGCATGAAATTGATGTGGTTATATCTGCTGTTGGTGGGGCAAACATCTTGGACCAGCTCATCCTTCTTGAGGCCATAAAAAATGTCGGAACCGTCAAGGTATGATAAATATTACGTCTAGAAGAATTTATTCAATATGGCGCCGGCTAAACAAAATATAATGGTAACGATATTGTTAGATACATGTATATACAACCAAAAAACAGCTTAATTTTCTTTATGTTTTTGGGTTGCAGAGATTTTTGCCGTCGGAGTTTGGGCACGACGTGGACAGGGCGGACCCGGTGGAACCAGGACTAACAATGTACAAAGAGAAGAGGAAAGTGAGGCGAGCAGTGGAGGAATCCGGTGTGCCTTACACTTACATTTGCTGCAACTCCATTGCATCTTGGCCCTACTTTGACAACACTCATCCTTCCGAGGTTCTTCCGCCCTTGGATCGCTTCCAAATCTACGGTGATGGCACTGTTAAAGGTATGTCACACCACATGATCAAAAGTGATCTACTATAGTATTCTGGTATCAGTGTGTTTCTGAATGTTAATTTTAGTTAAAATCACATTAAAATAAAGAGTATTATTATAAGATACTAGTGGTGTTAAGTACTATATACTAATAGAAGATGAATTCTTAATGAGCGGTCGAAACATTTTTTTAAAATAAAACTAGGCAAAACTTTGAGAAACTGACACATTGTGACAGTTAAAACAAAACCATTGTGGCAGATAAAATTCTCGTTCTTTTATTAAAATTATATAGATATTATTATATTCGCACCATAGAAAAGATAGTAGCTTAAGACCAAGGAATAAAATAACATAGGTGGAATAACATAGTGGTGATGCATTATAGATAGCGTATATTCCAAAGATATTATAGACGAAGTGAACCTAATAGGTTAATTAATCCTACTTTTGGAAAGTTGATATCACAATTTATGATGATAAAGATACGGAAGGATATTCATTTTTTTATTTTTTTTAACATAGCATCTATGTTCTTTACTTTAACTGCGACATCTTTGAAATTGAAAATCATTTTTACATAGCTAAGTACACCAATTATAAATGCTACTTCACTAGTTTACCGAACTTTTCCCCACCAAACGACCTATTCAACGGTGGTTGACTTATTCAATCCAAATTAAGTCCAAAACTCCAAATTAACCTCCCCTCTTCTCAGTCTTTTATTTTATTTTATTTTCCTGGTGTGAATATCCTATGGGCATGTCCACGTGGATATTTGTCGTGCTCTTGATCACCAAAGAGATTATTTGGTTGTAATTTTAATTCTCCACGGGACCCAAACTCTGCTGGGAACTGGGACCCATAAAAAAAATACCACCACTTTCATTATCTTCATCGAACAATTTTACGGGAGCACCGATGTTAATACCACACACTTAAAAAATAGGTCTCACAATATAAGAGTGAGACTTAGAGATAAGACCCGTCTTTTATTAATTATGGTGTCTTTCAGTATTTTTTTTCCTTTCTTCATCACGTCATTGTCATCAAAATAATTATCAATTGGGATCAACAGCTCGAATTCTAGTAATCAAATTCGTAATTAGCCACATATTTGCCCTACTTGTCTCTCCTTTGATATGTCTATATCGGAGTGATTGTCTAGGCTCATATATTAAAAACAAAAATTGCATAATATTATTATTGATTTACTTTTTAATAGCTTAATTGAGAATTGATAAACTAACACAGAAATATTTTCTTATGGGATCAACAGCTCGAATTCTAGTAATCAAATTCGTAATTAGCCACATACTTGTCCTACTTGTCTCTCCTTTGATATGTCTATATCGGAGTGATTGTCTAGACTCATATATTAAAAACAAAAATTGCATAATATTATTATTGATCTACTTTTTAATAGTTTAATTGAGAATTGATAAACTAACCAGAAATATTTTCTTGAAAAGATTCACCAATATGTAGTTTTTACAAAATTAAACAGTTATGTTGGAAAGTGTTGGTTTATCTTTGTTGGTAGAAAAATGTTGGTTAGTCCATTATCTTCAAAGTCTTTTAGTTGATTAACTTTCCCCAACCCAACATTAACTTAAGAGAATAAAATTGAACAGCTTACTTTGTTGCTGGGATCGATATTGGAAGGATAACAATGAAGACAGTGGATGACGTCCGAGCCATGAACAAGAATGTTCATTTTCGACCATCATGCAATTATTGCAACATAAATGAGCTGGCTTCACTTTGGGAGAAAAAGATTTGTAGAACTCTTCCAAGGGTTACCATTACTGAAGATGACCTACTTGCTGCAGCTGCAGGTACCTCACCCTTTCATAACTAATTTAATTACACACGTGGCATGAATTATATCTTCAACCTCAATTTTTATCTCTTATTTTTAATTAATATCATTTTGATTAATATTATTTGACTTAAAAAGATTTTAATAAAAAATAAAAAATAAAAATTTTAATAAAAAATAAAGAATAAAAATTCAAACACATACACTTTAAGAAATATATATCTCATTTTTTTATTTCCGTTAGTGTACAGAAAACTAGGCCCAACCGGGCACGGTTGTAGGGGTCGTACTGTGGTGATGGGATGGCACCGCAAACTTTTGCTAGTGAGAGCTAATAATTAATAATAACTAGATTATAGGATCAAGTTTTTAAAGGAACCATGAATTATAATTCAGAATCAGGGACGAATATAATGTTTTGTGGGGGCTATGTATATATTGATATCATAAATTATGTGTGTGTTTTTAAGAAAAATATAAAGCACGGCTTAGTGCATCCATGCAGGCCCCACTCAAATTTTAGAAATTTAAATTTGTATTCTTACAGTTGTTATAAAATTGTAGTTGTGCATTCAAGTCAAATAAGGCATGTTAGATTTTTATTTCTGATTTATTTATTTATTCCGTTGGAATATGCAGAGAATTGCATACCGGAGAGTATAGTGGCGTCATTCACCCATGACATATTCATCAAAGGGTGTCAGATAAACTTTTCCATTGGTGGCCCCAGTGATATTGAAGTTGGAACTCTCTACCCAGATGAAACTTTCAAGACTTTGGATGAGTGCTTCACTGACTTCCTTATGAAACTCAAGGACAAATCTACTGATGAAGTTTCTACCAAAAATCATGTGGTTGAACACATCCCAATCGCTGCAACATGTTCTTGATCATCTCACACGTATGCTTCATTCATGTTTATTTTATAACTTCTATTCATAAAAGACTATGTTTTAATTTTAATTATTTGGAGGTGAAGTAATCATGTGGTTGAACACATCCCAATCGCTGCAACGTGTGCTTGATCATCTCACAAATATGCTTCATTCATGTTTATTGTATAATTTCTATTCACAAAAGATTATGCTTTAATTTTAATTTTAATTTTAATTATTTGGAGGTGAAGTTGGTTTTGCCGGGGTCCATATTTAAAATCTCAAGGTTAACAAGAAGCTACAGTAGTTTTTTTTTTTTTGCTCAAGAAGAAGCCACGGTAGTTGTTTGTATTGTAATTCAAATTAATGAACCAATTACTACAATTGTTTCCCAATAATTTACCTTATTAATATAACTCTGAACCAATATCCATTGTTTGTATGACATAGTAGTTGCAATTGATAGTCCCTTGCCTAGTAGTTGAGAATGGCATTTTAGAATCAATTTTATACTCTCGAAACGTTCCTTTAATATCTTATATTTTTAATAATATTAAATAGATACCTTTTAAGTTTTAAAAAACATCTTATAAGTATCCCAAAACTTGAGACTTAAAATGTTCAAACTACCCTTATATTTAATTAATTAGAACATATAAATTTTAAGAATTCTAAAAATACGTTAAAACGTTTGTAAGAAAAATTCATAAGAAGCCCTTTATAAACAAAAATAAACACAAACAAATCAGATCTATTCTTCTACCACTATGGAAGATTGATACCAAATCAACCTCTTCCATAACAAAAATTAGATTAAAATAAAATCAGCCCAAAATATTGAAATCAAAGAAGATCCACCTTGACCCACCCCGCACATCCAGCTTCGCGCCAGGGTTCTGACCCACCTCGCGCTCGGCTCCGTCACAGCCGCCCCAGCTCTCCAGTCCAACATCGTAGCAACCCCATCACAGCCACAGCCCATAGTTGCAGATGTTGCAAATCTCAAGAATTGAATGGCCATGTACTCATACCACATTACACGGAAAGAAAATTGCCAGAAGGCAAAGAAGCTCCCCAACAAGTGGAAACTTTTGAACCTAAAAGCTACAGAAAAAACTTAAAAAGAGAGTGCGAGAGGAATTGAAAATGGTGAAAGAGCTTTTTGTCATTTTGCAGCCAAAAACTTTCTATTCCACGGTGAACATTACCATCCACATGAATATGCCCTTTTCTTCTTTGCAAAAAAACATTTCCAAGAAAATCGTTAGGTGTAGCCCAGGTGGAGAAGGAGGCGACAATCTCGTTGAGGAACGACGGCGAGCTCGTGGGTCTAGATGGTGAAGGGGCCGGCGACAGAGGATAGTTTGGGACTCCTCTTATTGAGTAGACTTTCATCAATGGTTGAAATTAATCAATTACTCGTTCATTTCACCGATTCGAGTTTTTAATTTTAAGTTTCTACAATAAAAAATTTTAAAAAAATATCACATCTAACTTTTTCTGCTATAAATATCACAATAAAAACTCTAAAAAAAATATCACATCTCTACTCAAATTAAAAATTTAAATTTACAAAATAAACTAGACCTTAAAAAAATAATTTAAAAATCGTTAGTTTCTATTTGATTATTAGGAATGATAGTTTGAACATTTAAAGTCTTAAAAAAGACTATAAAATGTTTTTTAAAACTTACCTATTTAATATTATTAAAAAGACAAAATATCAGGAATACATTTCGATATAATTTATATGTCCCTTTATTTATTTACTAATTAATTGATATGTCCCTAAAATGCACGACAATTGCAAGTCATACGGTAACATACATTTACAATGCATGGGGTTTTTCAAAGCATAATGCTTATGAATACTTTTCACCATCTAAACTGACCATTATAATTCCACACATACCATTGGTTCTCAAAACCTTCATATAAGTAACTATAAAGATAGATTCTTCAAACTCCTATAGCTAGCATCAAAAAACAAAACAGGAACAAAACAAAACGAAACAAAAAACAAGAAAAAGAAAACCCATTGTGTGAAATTTGTTAATAAGAAAATGTCAATAAAACCAACTACAAACACCACTTTAACTGGATTTCATGGCAGTATATTTACAATTCCTTGACAACACTAGTTTATTAACAATAAATGATACGAGAGACTATTATGTTTCTCAGCCTCAGCGCTTGCTTCATCTAAAATCACAAGCAATTATGTAAGGGGGGCGGGAAAAAAAAAAAAAAAAGGCGTTCAAGAAGTCTACTCCTGGCCTTGAATCAACAAGTTAGAAAACTACACATCATATACAGGCAGTCGCTCTTCGATAGCAACGCGGCATATAGGGCATTTTTTACACTTCTCACAGCAAGTTCTGAGATGCATCAAAACACACGCATGAAACAAACTATTAGAATGTGTTGAAAACTGAAAATAGGCAAAGAAAATCAGTATCTTGTATGTATACTAAAAGTAGTCTTATTCAGAAGACGAGAAAAAGTTTCCAATCAACATGTTGTGTTGTCCCATATCAATGCTTAAGTGAAAGGTCTAAGCTACTGGTTATGAGAAGATAAGACGGAAATCGCAGTGCAAAGGGTCAATCAATTTACCTGCAAAGAACATGATGCCTGCAAGGAAGCAGGACTATGTTAATCTGCTCTTCAAAGCATACTCTACAAAGGATCTTTTCCTGAGATTCATCAGATCAAAATGTTAACAAAAGGATTGACTTTAACACAAAAACTTGAAATACTAGCCGAAGTATGCAAATATTACATTCTGAAGTCTCTCATACTCCTGCTGGCTGAATTTTGTAATTTCTGTTTGCTCACTAAGTGCAGCCTGTAATCTCCAAATCTGCCGAAGGAAGAATAAAATATACAAGGCAAGTAAATATCATCATATAATACCATTTAATTAGGGAGAACCAATTAATTAACGGATAAACTGTAGCCTAATAGGAAAAGGGAAAAAAAAAAGAATAATTATACCTCATCAACAAGATCAGTTCTAGGCATTTTCTTCACAACATCAGGTGAGAAAGTGTTATACCTGCTTAGCAAGGATAGAAGGAAAAATAACAAAATTCATTAATACCTTTACGCTATTTTGCAGGACAGTAAACTTCTTATGCAAGGGAACATGAGATTATTCAAAAAAGGGTCACTGTGAGAAGGAATGAACAGAAATCTTAAATAAATAAATAAATAACAAAAAACAACAAAAACAAGCATCTTTACATGAAAGAAGAAATAACACAACCAATAAAGGTTTTTGAGCCTTACGGAATAAATGTTGCATATTGGGATACAATGACATCCATGATACAAAGAAACCAGATAATAGAAAAGAAATTACAGACCCAGATGTTCCCACACTATATAGTCTAGCTTGTTCCTCTCGACTTCCTTCGTCGATTGACCACCAACCCAGCAATCTGTCACCGGGATGAACATAAACAACAAAAAATGCCATAATTGTAAGTTTTGTCGACTCAAAAAGATAGCCAAAGTCATTCGAACTGCCAAGTCCCCAGAAAATGAACTACTTACCTTGAACCACGATGCAAGAAGCCAAAAGAATCTTGAACTTTTGATGCTATGGAGAAGTATCTTGCAGAACCAGCACCACCATATCTTCCAGACTCACGAGCATGTACTAGAATAACAATTTTCTCCACAAGTCTATATGCGGCAAATGCAACACCAGCTCCTTGCAACAAAATAAGAGGAGAAAACACGACTGGAATCGACAGATGCGTGGCCCCAGATGTTGTTCCCTGTAATGTACTCGAAAAGAAAACAACTAAGACACCTTCCAGTAGCAGCCAAAAATCACTTTCCTTAACATCTACAATTCTATAGTAAGTGACTGGTACCTCTAAGTACATAAAGAGCAGGATCTGGAAAATAATCAGAGGTACTTTCATAACATGTCCGCCGATATCTTGCAGGTCACATATCCCACTATTGTTCTGGTCATCCTCCGAAGAAATTACTAAACCTCTATTCCAGTCAAGATATCTCATAGTGATTGAAGGTGCAGAAGAGGGTTCTGTGATGTGAGAATGCCTATGGATTGATGGATTATACCACTTAGTGCAAACAAGAAAGGCAAAACCTTCTGCAATTCTGTGAAAATAACATTCAATGATCAGTTTTGACAAATAAAAGACCTGATAAAAAAATAAGAACATTAGATTTCTGTTAACACAAATATATATTACCCGAAGTTTATAAATAAGTCCCACCAGCCTAAAGCAGCTACATCACCTGCATGACATCGTGAAGCACTATATAATTCACGCTAATAAAGCATTCTAATTGTTGCAATAAATACAAGAGACAGCATCTAGCCAACAGTAAATAAATAATAAAATACAAGAAAGAGGCATTGTAATCATTGATTCATTTAAAAATCTATTGATCAGATTGTCAGTTTATGTTGGGACTATAAGATGGAGACAAAACAAAATAGATCACAAGATATATAATCTAAGTCCAACTGAGAAGTAATGTCACTACAAAATATTTCAATCGACAAATAAACACTCACCGCATATCTTTAGGAGAGTGAAAATAGTCGCAGCAATGAAGAAGACCATAGATATTGAAACCCAAAAGTGCTGGAAACAAAGTTTTATAGTTAGTAAATGAAGAAGAAGAGAAGATCCGTAAAACTGGTAACGCATATTACATAGGCAACTAAAATCATACAACAAAATAAAAAATAGCCATTATTATTGTAGTAGCAAATTGACAAAAAATAAAAAATAAATAAATAAATGGGCAATTTTAAAAAATGGCATTAATAAATAACACAAATTTATTTCTGCTACTGTTGTTAAATTTACTTTAGGCCACTAATAACCTGCAAGTTATCTTTTCATAGCTTGCAGGTTATTTTTCGTAGCATGCAGGTTATCTTGCGTAACCTGCAGATTATCACTTCGTATCCAACAGGTTTTTTTGGTAGTGGCATCAAAATTTTATATAGTGGCATAGATAATAGAGTTGGAAAAAAAAAATGGTTAAACTTGAAATTTTCTCTAAATAAATAAATAAGCCTCATGTGTGCATGAACTGCATTTAACAATGATCGTTTTTGTTTATCTTTTAAAATTTCTACCATGAACATGTTTTTCATTATATTTAAATTTGTAACCATAATCTCAACCGAAAAAATGCAGCATTGAGGCCCATAAATTCCAATGCTACTCATGATTAAAGATTCTCCTAAAGATGTGCTATAAAACAGAGCAAACGTTGCTTCAAATGCCATTTTTCTGATCTCTTTCATATACGCAATGCAAGCAGAAGTTCCTCATAGTACATGGTCATATAATGGCGAATAATCGTTGTAAAAGGATGATAAAAGGTGCCAATTAACTATTATCACTCACATAGACCCTCAACAGTAGGGTGAAAAATGAATGAATGATACAATCAAGCGTTAAATTCTTCAACCAATAATATATAATTGCATACTTACAGGAAGAGTCTCCCATATTACATCATCATTCATGGCTTCTTCGTCTCCAGGCATTAAAGCCCTACACATCCTATATTAAAAAGAAGACGTTGATTACTAAAACTGAAAGTGGAGATGAAATGAATATTTGTGAAGTCCCCACAGAAAGTGGTGAGTTCATTACATGTTAATTTAATCTCATTGATTATCAAAACAGATCCTACTCTGCTTTGTAGATTGATCTATCTACCATTGGAGAACACCAATATCCATCTTCCGGTTAAAATAAATACTTATTATAACCAATAGATCAAGAAAGGAAAACAAAATTAAAATAAAATAAAATAAAATAAAGAAAAAAAAAGGATACCTGATATTATCAACCAAAATTGCTGTTTCAAAAGCTAACAAGGGCATAAAGACAATCTTCAACGTGATTCCTGCAGCAAATTAAGTTCACAAAGAAACAAAAAATAATAATAAGGCAATCTTCAACATGATTCCTGCAGCAAATTAAAGTTCACAAAGAAACAAAAAAAAAAAATTAAGGCCCGGAAGTTGAAATAACATAAAGAAAGAAACTAAGAAAGAAGTTTTCTAAATCTCGTTGAGGGAGCACTCAATGATTCTCATTAACATATCAGAATGAAGAGAGAGAATAAATTGACATAACAAAATATTTCAATTTCTCGCCCATAAGAGTGCAAGTCACGTACTTCACTATAATTGCTAGACATAACCGCAATAACCTGATTATGAAGGAGGGAAAAAAACGTTGACTCCAATAGTATCAAACAGTTATTGTCCAAAAAAGGTACTTGCCTATACCATAACTGCTTTCTAGATAGAAACAAAGGAGAATTTCGAAAGCAACAAGCAACGGAGTTGCCATGACAGCATGAAAAGGCGCCCACTGCACAAGAAAAAGAAGTGTTTTCACTATGTGTCACTACAACAAGAAAATCTGATTTCAGAATGCATTTTCTCGTGCAAGAAGAATAGTATATCCAACATAAGATGGCGATAATTCTCGTACATTACGATCATGAGGCAAAGCCGGTGCAGGTAAGGAGAATCTGCCTCGGGCTACAACTGCGTGGAAAAGCCACAGAGGAGAAAACACAATCCTGCATAATAAGGATGGAAGAAAACATTAGACACTAAATTAAAAGAAAATGGTACTCACAATACTAAAGGGAAGCATAGAATACATAGCAAATTAAAAAAGTCCACAGGATTCCAAGAAAATAATATTATCTCCAAACTTCAATAGCATTGAAACCGTTTTCCCCTTTTCCCTTTAAAAATAAAATACAGAATTTGTCCATACATAAAAAATAAAGGTGACATTTTTACAGGAGTTTGTCTGATAATGCATATATGAGCTCGGAATTATCTTTGCATTATGTGTTTTAACTTGTTACAATTCCAAATTCGGATCCCAAAAAAAATGCATAACTTGCCAATGAATTCACGTGTAAAAAGAAAAAAGAAAAAAAGAAAAACGTTTCTTTTTCATTATTGAGCCAACCTTAATGGCTAAAAGTACAGTGACAGTCAACAGTTCTTAACAAGCTCAATGCAAGAAAGTACAATGTTAACAACATAAAGAAAGTCCAGAATTTTTTATTTAATAAGAGCCCACAATTTTTTTTGGCTCCAAAAACAGGGGAATTTCAAACAATCCAATCATCAAAACACACGTTTATTTCAGTTCTGTCTGGTTTAACATCGTCGTTCTGCTACAGTATTTTTTTCTCACAAAAAATTTGAATTTCTAAAATCAAAATCATGATTCTAACTATGAACCAATCGTCTGAATATTATAAGAATTCACAAAATGGGCACCTTTAATTTTGCAGAAAGAAATGCAATAAAAACCGAATAAGGGCTAATTATAATTGGTCCAAACGTTCAATATAGCTCCTAATATCTCCCTCAAATTTTCCCACCAAACAGAGCCAAGAGCAGGAAAAGAAAATAAAAAGTGAATTACGAACCACCAAGGACAGCGAACGGCGCGGTGGAGCTTAAGGACGAGCAAGATCGTGAAGGAGAAGAGCAACCCATGGGCTACCAGCGCGTGAAGAGACTTCCCCACGCGCCGCCACGTCATCACTCTCCTCTGGACCAACATTCTCTCTGCTGAAGAAGAAGAAACTCAACAAAAAAAAAAGAAAAAAAAAAAGAGCAAAGCTTTCTCTCTCTTCTACCCAGTTGCTGAAACTGCAAGAAAGAGCATGTTACACGTGAAAAAGGGTCGTCGGTGGTTTCGAGAAGAAGACACAATGAAGGATCTCTCTATTCTATCGATTCGCAGGAGAGAGAGAGTTTTTCTCTTCTTTCTCTCTCCTTCTGATTGTTTTGTTTTCGCAATAACTTCGCTTTCGAGGAATCGGAAGAAGACATTTTCTTTGGGGGATTTAGATTCACCTTTTGGACGGAAATGCCCTCAAATTTGTATGCAAACTGCAGACGACAAGTATGAGGTTATCTGACTACGTTTCGATGAGAGAGTAAGGGTAAAATAGGTAGAGTGTGAAAATGAGGATGGGGCGTATTTTGACGTCACATCACTTGCAAATTGTTTCAAAAGAGGCAAATTGTTTCAAAAGAGATATTTTCAACCCTTTTCTTAGGAGATATTTTTATCATTTTTTTTCTTAGAACAAATATTTTATTCCTTTTAGAAGTTACAATTATTGATCAATAAAACTAAATAGAAGACTTTTTTTTGTTTTTGTTTTTGTTTTTGGGGATAACTATTGACCAATAACCATAGGCCACCACAAACTGATCCGAAAATTTTTTTTTTCGGATGACGTTTGATAGATAGATTTAAAATTAATGTTTGATTTAGATAATTCGAAATCTGATGTGATGTTTTAAACTAGAATCACTCATTATTCTAAAATCACTTATCTTGATTCAAGGTAATTCAAACTCTTATAAATCATAGCAGCATGAAAAGGCGCCCACTGCACAAGAAAAAGAAGTGTTTTCACTATGTGTCACTACAACAAGAAAATCTGATTTCAGAATGCATTTTCTCGTGCAAGAAGAATAGTATATCCAACATAAGATGGCGATAATTCTCGTACATTACGATCATGAGGCAAAGCCGGTGCAGGTAAGGAGAATCTGCCTCGGGCTACAACTGCGTGGAAAAGCCACAGAGGAGAAAACACAATCCTGCATAATAAGGATGGAAGAAAACATTAGACACTAAATTAAAAGAAAATGGTACTCACAATACTAAAGGGAAGCATAGAATACATAGCAAATTAAAAAAGTCCACAGGATTCCAAGAAAATAATATTATCTCCAAACTTCAATAGCATTGAAACCGTTTTCCCCTTTTCCCTTTAAAAATAAAATACAGAATTTGTCCATACATAAAAAATAAAGGTGACATTTTTACAGGAGTTTGTCTGATAATGCATATATGAGCTCGGAATTATCTTTGCATTATGTGTTTTAACTTGTTACAATTCCAAATTCGGATCCCAAAAAAAATGCATAACTTGCCAATGAATTCACGTGTAAAAAGAAAAAAGAAAAAAAGAAAAACGTTTCTTTTTCATTATTGAGCCAACCTTAATGGCTAAAAGTACAGTGACAGTCAACAGTTCTTAACAAGCTCAATGCAAGAAAGTACAATGTTAACAACATAAAGAAAGTCCAGAATTTTTTATTTAATAAGAGCCCACAATTTTTTTTGGCTCCAAAAACAGGGGAATTTCAAACAATCCAATCATCAAAACACACGTTTATTTCAGTTCTGTCTGGTTTAACATCGTCGTTCTGCTACAGTATTTTTTTCTCACAAAAAATTTGAATTTCTAAAATCAAAATCATGATTCTAACTATGAACCAATCGTCTGAATATTATAAGAATTCACAAAATGGGCACCTTTAATTTTGCAGAAAGAAATGCAATAAAAACCGAATAAGGGCTAATTATAATTGGTCCAAACGTTCAATATAGCTCCTAATATCTCCCTCAAATTTTCCCACCAAACAGAGCCAAGAGCAGGAAAAGAAAATAAAAAGTGAATTACGAACCACCAAGGACAGCGAACGGCGCGGTGGAGCTTAAGGACGAGCAAGATCGTGAAGGAGAAGAGCAACCCATGGGCTACCAGCGCGTGAAGAGACTTCCCCACGCGCCGCCACGTCATCACTCTCCTCTGGACCAACATTCTCTCTGCTGAAGAAGAAGAAACTCAACAAAAAAAAAAGAAAAAAAAAAAGAGCAAAGCTTTCTCTCTCTTCTACCCAGTTGCTGAAACTGCAAGAAAGAGCATGTTACACGTGAAAAAGGGTCGTCGGTGGTTTCGAGAAGAAGACACAATGAAGGATCTCTCTATTCTATCGATTCGCAGGAGAGAGAGAGTTTTTCTCTTCTTTCTCTCTCCTTCTGATTGTTTTGTTTTCGCAATAACCTCGCTTTCGAGGAATCGGAAGAAGACATTTTCTTTGGGGGATTTAGATTCACCTTTTGGACGGAAATGCCCTCAAATTTGTATGCAAACTGCAGACGACAAGTATGAGGTTATCTGACTACGTTTCGATGAGAGAGTAAGGGTAAAATAGGTAGAGTGTGAAAATGAGGATGGGGCGTATTTTGACGTCACATCACTTGCAAATTGTTTCAAAAGAGGCAAATTGTTTCAAAAGAGATATTTTCAACCCTTTTCTTAGGAGATATTTTTATCATTTTTTTTCTTAGAACAAATATTTTATTCCTTTTAGAAGTTACAATTATTGATCAATAAAACTAAATAGAAGACTTTTTTTTTGATTTTGTTTTTGTTTTTGGGGATAACTATTGACCAATAACCATAGGCCACCACAAACTGATCCGAATTTTTTTTTTTCGGATGACGTTTGATAGATAGATTTAAAATTATAATTTTAGATTTAAATTTATAATTTTAGATTTAAAATTAGTGTTTGATTTAGATGATTTGAAATCTGATGTGATGTTTTAAACTAGAATCACTCATTATTCTAAAATCACTTATCTTGATTCAAGGTAATTCAAACTCTTAATTCTAAATCATAGTTTCAGAATCATGATTTGAACCCTAAATCATGAATTATAATTTTAATTTTAAAATTATGATTAGAATCACTTTAATTTAAATTTTCGTACCGAATGAACTCTTGATGTTCCTTGTCTTACTAGTGTACTATTTTATTAAAGTTTTAAAACAATTATGTGTTCGTGTTTAGATTAATCGACGATTCTAACAATTTCACAAGTAGTGCACATACCATTTTCAATAGCAACTTAAGTATTGTACATTTTTAAATTATTGTATTTAAAAAAACAACTAATAATTTCACAGTTTGAGAAGTGTACATAGCATTTTCAATAGCAATTCAGTATTATAATTTTTAAATTATCGTATTTTTCAAACAAACAAAAATATGCTAACAATTTCATAGTTTGAGAAGTGCACATATCATTTTTAATAGTAACTAAGTATTGTACATTTTTATGGTGCGTTTGATAGATGGATCGAGAATTTTAATTCTGGATATTGGTTCAGAATCAATGTTTGTTTACAGTGATTCTGAATGATTCAGAATCTGATATGATGTTTTAAAGTTCGTTTGGTCCGAGAATTTAAATCAGGGTGATTCTAATCATGATTTAAAAACTAGAACTATGATTCAGAATTATGGATTTAAATCACATTGAATCAAGAGGGAATAGTTTTAGAATCATGAGTGATTCTCGTTTAAAAACATCACATCAGATTCAAACTCCCCTCTTGATTCAAGGTGATTCAAACCATTGATTTTGAATAATGTTTCAGAATCATGATTTGAACCAAAAATCATGAGTATGGTTCTGATTTTAAAATTATAATTAAAATCATCATGATTTAAATTCCCATACTAAATGAATCCTTAATTATCCTATTTTTCAGAGTGAAAACAAAAAAAAAAGCTCAAATCTATCAAAATCAAGCCAAAAAAAAAACCTCGCCCATTTGGTTAGAGGATTCGTTTTCTGATTCGAATCATGGTTCATGGTTCGCTACAATATTTTTTCTCACAAAAAACACACATAAATTAAAAATGGTTCTAATCCATGAACTAAACGGGCTTTTTTCATCCAAAGTTTTTTTTTTTTCAAGTCATTTTCATCTACAGTTTTTTTTTTCACAAAAAAAAAAAAGTGTTATTTGTCTCAATTTCACACTTTGAGAAGTGCGAATACGACTACTTTCAATAGTTCAAGATACATCCTAGGCATTACGAAATTTGTTCCATATGTATTTTATTCTTTATTTAATAGGCTTTCGTAAAAGTAGGGTTAATGGTTGTGAAGATTATTACGGATCAGAAAAATGGATAAACAAACACTAAAAACAAATATGAATTATACAGTTACAAATATTTTATCAGTTTAATTAACTTTTACACCAAAATTTTTCCTTAAAAATAGAATGTCCTTTTCGATCGGCCTCATCTTTTAGCTGGATATGACTCTGATATTCTTAGGGCCCCATGTGGGGAAGCAGGGACGTTCGTCAGGGTGAGAATACTTAATGTTGTGTCAAATACAATGTGGTTTTAGTTTAGTTTTTGTTTGTTTTTTTCATTCCCTGTGTAGGTTCTTCTGTCCTTTTCGTGTTGTTTGTTTTCCTAGTCTGTTTTCTGCTCCTGTGTAGGTTGGTTTTCTTCTCTTTTTTTTGGCTCTTTTTGAGCTTCTTCGGTTGTTTTTGGCTGTTTAGCCTTGTTTGGTTGAATGAACTACTCTATTAGCAAAAAGATAAAAATAAAAATAAAAATAATAAAAATCAATGTGGTTTTGGCCATAAAATACCAAATTTTAAAAATGCAAATCAATGATTGTACCTCAGATCTTGATGGTATGATATAGTGTCGCTACACTGATGTTGGATGTTATCCAAACTTCAAATAGCGATATAATCGGCCATGTTTTTTGTGCCTTTTATTTTATTTTTCATTAATTGGTGAAACTTCCTTCAAACTATATCAGTAAGTGGCAAGATATATATATATATATATATATATATATTAGAATTGTCTTAAATTCAGTACTTGGATTGGCACCTGCTATAGGTGGAAGGGTGAAAACTGAGTAGATAGTCAGTAAAGAGAATAGTTTAGGCTTTTGCCACTTCTCGATGGTCCCGTGTTTCCTAGGCGTACCCTCGGTGCGTGAGGTAGATCACTTAATCTCCTTTTTCGATTAGTAAAAAAAAAAAAAAAACAAATCAATACTTCGATCAATTTAATAAATATAACTTTTGTCGATTCCCGTCAGTCACAAAATTGGGATTTAATTTCAATGGGGCTCAAATAAAATAAAATTAATATAGTTGCTCATCTCGTTATATGTTTATTCATCATCTCATGTGTACTTAATGCACCTCTAGTAATTTATAGGTACATTTCAATGTAATAATAAACAAATTTCATGTAGTGTTGAACTGGAATTGTGAAAAGAAAAAAAAAAGTGGGAATTATAAGAGGAGAGAAAGATATCAAACTTATTATACCCGTGAAATGAAAGGAGAAAGGGGAAAAAATCGAGTAAACAATAAACTAGTGTGTTATGAGTTTTCTAACAAATAACTTTAAGAAAAATCTAGAAAATAAAGAGAGATACTGAAATAAACAAAAATGAGAGGGGGCACATCTAAAAATATTAGGTAAATATAAGGGGATCTCTTTTTAGTGCGGGCACGTACCCCTATCTTTTTTTTCTTCTTCTTTTTTTTCTTTTTTTTTTTTTTTTTTTTTTTTTTTTTACCTCATTGTACATTTTTTCTTTCAGACACTCATAAATATAATTTTTCTATCTATTTCACACTTGAAATAATATATTCTCCTACATATCCATGTCATTTTTTTAAAATCCTATTCCCCTGACAAAACGTTGGTTTTTTTTTCCTCTCTTTTTTCCCTTTTTTCATTCTTACCTTTTTTTTGCCCTCCTATGTATTTTTCTTTTTTTACTTATTTCTCTAAATTAGACCTTAATAAATATATTTTTCATTCTTGTTTATAAAATCTTGCACGCACTGTTTCAACTACTATATATAAATACATATACATGTTGTCATGTTTGAATTTTTATTGTTTAAATTTATTTCATGTTTTGTTTATTTTAGTCTAATTCACTTGTGTGGCATAAGAGGAAATTAGGTGATGACTCAATTTTAGTGAAAAGGAGGGAGATAGCACATTTATAGGATAAAATAAAAATTAATGGCATAGTTTTGAGGAAAGAAATTTTAGTAGCATATTTGGGATCTAAGACTTTAAAAGGACGTTTGATTTATGTATTCAGAATTATGATTTAGAATCATTCTCGTTTTACGTGTATTTTTTATGAGAGAAAAATACTGTAGAGAATCATGAATCATGATTCAAAATCAGAAACGAATACATGAAACAAATGTCCTCTAAGTATGTGAAAACTAGCCCCTCAAACATTGAAGAGGTGGCCACCATTTTCATCGAAAAAGATGAGTAGCACCATCAGAGACTCAGAGACGAGATTATCAATGGAGCTCTGTGATGGAGATAGAGGTCGAGATGGAGTTCGTGTCTCGACAAGATCTTGTACTTGCGATGTAGCTGACCTTTGATCTCGCTTCTCTAATGAGTTGACGGAGCTCGATTAAATCTCGCCATTGACGATGGAGCCCCCTTTCAATCACGACCGTAGACTGCATCGCGATTCGTTCATGGAGATCATCGCAAACAGGTGGATCTTGTGAAGTCACCACCAGACAAATGCTAGGGAACAATCGGAGACAACATCACTGGCGATTGTTGTAAAAAAGAAGGAACAAGCAAAAAAGATGATCGGCACATTCTTGGAATCTCAAAACTTACTATTTACCTCGTTTAAAAAAAGTATTGCTATTAACTACAACTAGTTTCTAATGATTGTCATGTATTATAATTATACTTTTGGATTTATATCATAATTTTTTGTGATTCGGATTTAAGTTACATTTTGTTCACCTTTAACTAGTTCATTTCGTATATAATAAAAATTTTCAATATTTGGGACATAAATTCAAAGCTAGGTTTTTTGCTTAGAATATTTTAAAATTTGCTAAAAAAACAAATAGATGTTTTCTTAAGGAACAAACACATGCTTTTAACTTTTAAAATATGTAAACAAAAAAAGAAAAAGAAAAAGAAAAAAGAAACTTACTTTGTAGAAAAAGAATTTGCATGCATGAATAACATATATTTAATCCACGTATCGAAGAAGTGGGGAACCCACTGCTAGGGGAAGAACATGAAATGTGAAAACTATTTATAAAAAAAAAAAAAGGGTAGAGTAGTTAACTCTACAAAAGTACATTTATGGATTCAACTTTTGTGCATCTAACAGATGTTTAGTTTTCATTTTTGTTTTGACACCAAACAAATACAGGCCTATTAGCTCAGTTGGTTAGAGCGTCTTGCTAATAACGCGAAGGTCGAGGGTTCGAGACCTGCGTGGGCCAATCTAACTTCCTTTCTGTTGGGCCTTTATTTGATGCTCAGCCCAATTCAACAAATGGGACAGTCGTTGGGCCAGTCGTTGGGCTTGCATAATAAACATAAGCGGAACTTTTTTCAGCCTTAGGGTGTGTTTGGTTAATGATGCCATAAAAAAATTAAGGAAAAAAAAAAAAAACTTGTAGACTCCATTGAATAGCTTGGCTCCCGTTCCGGCCATCACTTGTTTTTTTAGTAGAGATAGCTATTTTGTTTGGGACATCAATTTTAATTCTAATTTTTGCACTAATTTTTAAGTTGGTATTCTCTTATTAATAATGTATAAAAGATTGTCAAGCTAATTAATAATAAGAGGTTGTACCTACCGGTTATTAGTTACTTGAGTGTGCATTCATTTAGCTATTAATAGAGTGTTTTATTTCTTGTTAATTAAGTAGGAGCCACAAATTCTATTCTGTATTAAATAAAAAAAAGAAAAAAGAAAACAAGTTGTGCATACCAATAAACAAATGCCAACTTAAAGATTGACATAAAAAAAAATTGAGATTAAAGTTGGTTATAAAGAAATATTGTCGCATTAACTTAATTAGTTAGTACTTAGTATCATACCATTAGTAATTGTTTCATATATATTACATGCAGAAGGTACAAATTAGTACTGAGATGAATAATGGAGCCGACGGGTTCTGTATCAAATAAAAAGCGAGAGCATCGAGTACTCTCTAGTGCGCTTTCATGGCTAGATCTTGAAGCCCGTACAGGCGTGCATGTTGTGTTATATTCATGTCTCTTGGCAGGCACATTATTTATTAACAACTCAAATTCTGATTCGGTAGCTAGCAACTATCAGGGTTTTGAAATTTCACTAATTTTGTTTAATACAAAATAAATTAATCCTATTTCCTTGAAAGTATTATTCAATAAAAAATAATAAAAAAAAACATAATGGAGTAGGAGTTTTTTTTATTTTATTTTTTATTTATTTTTTTTCATTTTGATCTCAATTTATTGAATGTGATAAGTATTAAGTTGTCCTTTTCCTTTTCTTCTCCTTTTTATTTAAGACGTGATGGTGCCATCAAGATTGGAATTAGAGTCGCTAAATGTATGGCCAATTAGTACTGTAATAGAATTAAAATTATGATTTCAAATACGTAAAACAAATGGACTCTAGTGGCTGGCGAATATGCCTGATTCAATTATGATCGAGCATCAATATTGTCAAATGGGTATTGGGTCTATAGAATTTGACTCTGATACCAGGGTTTTAGATAAAACTTATCCCTAAAAACTAACTCAAAAGGGATGTGTCCAAACCATATATAAACATCCCAACAGCCTAATAACTTAGCTATGCGGAACAAATTCACAATCTAACAAATATTTCTCATTTACAAGCGGCTTCATTTATTTTGTAACTCTCACAATTGTTTGGTTATGCCCCGGCTTACTACAGATGGAACAAGAAAGAATCAGTTGATCAGCGGGAAACAAATTGGATTGAAAAAGACAACCAACTCTTGAAGCCAAACTAATTCAACTCTTTCTTGCAAAAGATCCAAGCAGTCTCCCATGATATTTTATCACAAATGTTAGCCCTCGGATGTATGTCCAAAGTTTCATGGTATCAATTTGGAGATTAGGATCTTACTGGTATTACAATTTGGAGATTAGGTTTTTTTTGTTTTTTTTTTTTTTTTTTTTTTTTTTTTTTTTTTTTTTAATAAACTGATGAGAGAAGCCAACTAATATCAAGGCGTAAGAAAACATCCCAACGAGATTGGTACCATTTCCGCAACCTATCACATACTAAGACTCTACCTCTGAAATTTTATTCAAAATAAATAAATAAATAAAAAACGGAAATAAAATAGTGGCCAAACCCTAATTGAAAACTTAAAAGAACTATACATCCAACTGGAGGCTGCTTCCAAAAGATTGAGTCGAAACTCGGCACTTTGAAAAACAACCATAGTTATGCCTCGTTAAAAATCTATTGGCCAAACTTAGTGGGAAAAAGACCAAAAGGAAAAAAGAGTACAAAACTAGCGCAAACTGGGGGGTTAATTTTGAAACCTATAGCTAGGTAAACCTTTCATATCCCTCCCTAACAGACGACCACAAGAATCCGGAGCTGAAAACCACCAAGTTTATTCGTTCAAGTGAACACCCATGCCTGCAAGTTTATCCGCGACTTGATATCCCTCCATGCATATAGATATGGGAGACCGTGTAAGTAATAGACTCAAGGAACTTCAACCCTCGCAACCTCCTCCACTTAATCCTCCAAGGAACATCAGTTATCTTATTATGAAGCATATGGACTGTAAACGAGGAGTCAGCTTCGAACCAAAGATAATTCCAATTGAATTTCTCACATAGCGACTTGCCACAATCATCCCCCATAACTCCGCCTCGAAAGCATGCACGATGCCTAAAGGTTTGGCAAAGCAGCCTTTACAAAAGCCCCTGAAAGATCTGAAAACACCGACACAACTAGCAGGTTTGGTATTTCTAATACCGTTGCAGTTTATCAACCGAATGCTTTATAGCGAGTGAATATACAATCTTGGATGGAGCTAGGAGATCAGACCTGTTCTCAATATCAAAGCATTGATTGGATATTGATACAGAAATCAACATTAATTGAATCTTGGATTAGGAAAAAAAAGGGGCAGAAAATGTTGCTTCGGGTTATTTCAAAAAAAAAAAAAAAAAAAAATATGACAGATCTTGATTTTAAGAGAGAAAAAAAAAAGAGCAAAAATATTGAAAAGAAAAAGTCATCATACTAGCTTAGGGGCCGTTTATAGTGAGATCAAAGGTTTTAAAATGAGAAACTCCTTTAGGTTTTTCTTTTAAGTTTGTTTCATTCTTAACTTTATTTTGTTTGCATTTGGCTGAGATTTTTAATTTAGTTTTCTTTTTTTGCTGTTTTATTTTAAACTTTATTCTGTTTGTCGACTTTGCCTTCGGTTGAATTTTCTTTATTAATTGTAGGCTTTTCAATTATAACCTCATGATATTAGAAAAGTAGAAGTAAAAATGTGGGGTGATATTTCAATTGCTTTTAGGTTTTTAATGCTAATTTCGTCTTTACTAGGATTGGAAAGTGGAATCTCGTGGTTTCTGTTATAAGAAGAAAGAAAGAAAGAAGGAGTTAGTACTTTCAAATAGTGTTAGCTACTATATATTTCAAAGCGCTTTAAAATCAGCAATAGTTGGGACATGTATGCATGACAAAAACAAGAAGTGTAATCTTGATATCGTCATGTAAGAGTAAGAGTACTGGATGAATGACCCACCTGCCCCCTTATTTCTTTTAAAATAATAAAAAAATCCTTTAGCCATGCATATTATTGACTTTAAATCAACAACTAATCATATGCGTAATTTAAAGACCTAAGTTTCGCAAGATGCAGGAAAAAAAAAAAAAAGTTTCGCACGAAGTACTGCTGCAATGTGTGATGCATATACAACGCAAACGACATTGAAATAATTTCCTGAATATTTCTAGGAATATGGAATTCCGTCAGGCGTCAAAGGGAATTACAGTGATAGATCATCACACATAAGATATATATATATATATATTATATGAGATAAATCTGCAAGATTTTAACAAGAAAAATGTTTTCTTAATATCTGGTTCTCAAATTAATATGCAAATCACTTGATGTAATTTTGTTGTACTTATATATTTCTTATATGCTAATGAGATGATGAATGAGATCTGCAAACACTTTATTACAAAAAAAAAAAAAAAGATGATATGATTAATGTATATGCATGCATGCAAGATTACATGATGTACGAAAAAATACCTTTGATATTCTACATGACAAGCAATAATTTATACATTATGGGCTCGTTCACTTCACGGATTCGAGTTTTCAATTCGAGTTGAAATGTGATATTTTCTGAGAGTTTTTCATTGTAGTAAAAAAAATTAGATGTGAAATTTTCTGAGAATTTTTTACTGTAAAAACTTAAAACTAAAAACTCAAATCGGTGAAATGAACGAGACATATATATATATATATATGTGTGTGTGTGTAAATTCTACGAAGAAGCACAAGAAGAATCCAAATACACCTAAAAAGAATGGAATATTAGAACCCGGGGAAGGAATAAACACCAAAAGTTCAAATACAAAATTATTACGTATATGTACAGCCAAACAGTTGTCATTTATAAATCAGACGTCAATCACACTCAAAACATATAACTCGATCGAGTGAAATGAAACTGAAAATGCCTAACTTCTCACTAGGGTTTCTCATCCCTGAAAACCAGAGCTGGGAAATACCCAGAAGAAAAACGACATCAACGTACGGATATTACACGGAAAAGAAGGGGGTGATGTAGTGGTGGGACTAGGAAAATGTACTGTACATGAGAAAAATGATGATAACTAAGTCGTCACCATTCTCAGGAATGACTATAATTCCACCGGTAAGTACAATCTGAACAAAGAAAGAGAAAGAAGAGAAAAGAGAGAGAGAAATAGCCACTAGAAAACAAATCCAATATTAACCCAACTCTGCAAAACTTGGAGTTCAAACCGGATCTGAGAAAAACTCTATGCAATAAATATGTAAGTCCAAAATTTTCTATCTTCGGGCTTTTTATAAAGTTTCTCTCCCCACGAAAAAGATCCTTCGCTTATTCTTTCCCTTCCTTATAACAAACCCCATCTGTGTCTCTTATCAGCTTTCAGTTTCACTTCTTCACCTATATATTTTATATTATATATGTGTGTATATATATAGTTTTGGAGAAACACAAGTAAACAAAAAACACCACACCATAATTACCTATTTGTTTTCACTGGTGGAAAATATTACACACAACATTAAATCCACGCCAACCAAAAAAAAAAAAAAAAGAAAAAAGAAAGAAAAAGAAAAACACCACACCCACAAGAAATATAGAAAAATAAAAATATGGGATATAAGAACATGATGATAATAACTTAAAAAAAAAAGACCTGATCATCATCATGTGTACTTGTAATTGACGTTTCAAGGATATATATTGATGTTATTAGTGGTCCTTTGCCTCTTAACACTCCCATTGGAAGAATCCTGATGATCACCACCCTTCTTCTCTATCACTGCCTTAAGTGCTTCCTGTATCGAACTTATACAATACTGCGCCTGCTGATTATGATGATCATGATCATGATCACCCTGTTGATCTTCGTCGCCGCTGCTCGAATCTTCGTCGCCGGTGATGAACAAAACGTTCTTCACACGTCCGCCTAGAGTTGTTATTTCAGCCTTGAGTGTTCTCAAGCGTAAGGCTTTCAAGGTCTTGATGAGGTCCGGGATGAGATCGGACCGGTCTTCGCAGCAAAGCGAGGCCTTTATCACGAACCGGCCTTCCTCATCCGATGCGTCGTCGACGGTGAGTTCATCCATCTCCGTCGGGACTGGACTTGTTTCGGCTATTAGAGAAGTTTGGCGTTTCAGCTCTTTCACATGTTGTATCACTTCTGCGAGTAAAGAAGCTTTGTCTGTCTACATAATATTAATAGTTACAAAAAATAAAACAATTAGCGATATTTAACGTTACTTGAGTTGACTAATTCGAATGAGTCCGACATTATTTATATGATTTATCAGCACTCTAACCGGCTCAAGTCATGCATTAGCAAATATTCTTTTGAAATGAAATAGTGTAAAGAAGAAAAGGAAAGGTTGAGAGCACATAATATGAATGTGGTTCTCGATAAAAGAGACAAAGCTGCAGTTTCAAATCCGTTATGCTTTGATCATATCATTCTCACAAAAAAGAAACGTTTTTTTTTTCCTTTTAACAATGGTTGGATTTTCGAAGGATAAAGGGAATATGTTAAAAATGACTGACAATCATGTTAGTTTGTCTAATAACTTTTTTTTTTTTTTCTCTCATTTCAAGTCTAAGAATATATATGTGGTTTGGCTGGTATCCGGCAAGAATTTTCCATGAGAAGCTTTTCAACTGCCCCTTGGTTCCTCTTTATCGTATCAGCCGAACGACATTAACGCCCTTATATATTATTCCCTTTTTTGTTTTTTCCTCCATCTTCTCCTCGGAACTACCAAACGACTCATGAGAAAAGAGAATAAGAAACCCAAAAAGAAAAACAAACAAAACAAAAAAGATATCACAAAAAAACTTGCTTTCTATGATATCCTATCAAGTTGAGAAGAAACAATAAAACGAAGACAAAAAACAAAGATTGTATAAACAAAACCTAATATTGGTAGGTTTAGAAGAAGTGCAGAATATAATCATGATGATTATGAGAGTTCGACCATCCTAACAAAATAGAATCTTGGAAGATCTACAGAGATCTTTGATTAGAAAAAGCTCACTATAAAACAAAAACAAAAACAAAAAAAAGTGGTACATAAATACGACATGTTGTACGCGTGATCATATATTTATAATTACTACTTTTTTTTTTGACAAATAGTTTTATTATTATACTCACTTACTTTGGTGGTGCTGGGCAATAAACTTCGCAACTTGGCAAGATGATTATTGATTCTCTCTCTTCTTCTCCTCTCGGCCTCGCTGTGGCTCTTAGAAGCCGCAAGAGCCTTGGCGTCCATGATCTCTTGAGCAGTCATTTTTCCCAGCTCGGCTTGGAGTCCAAAAGGCCCCGAACCGGGCTGACCCGCCGGCCCAATGGCGTCGGACAAGATTCTGAGGTGGTCCGACGACGGCCCATGATGATGATGGTCGTAAGCGAACTGCAGAGGAGTTGCTGATCTTCTGTTGAACAGACTTGCGTATGGAGATGGTGGGGGAGGGACGAGAAAAGGGTCGTGGTCTCGGACCGGGTTTGGGCCGAAGTGGGTCGGGTTGAAGGCGTGGACCGGAGGAAGAGACCAGGGTTGGAGGATTGGAGAGACTTCTGATGGGAAAATCAAGCCTTGTTGTTGTTGATGATTCATCTGTTGGTGAAGAAGAAACTGTTCTTGGAAGCTTTGTATGTTTTGATTAATGGCCTGTGAACACTCTGCTTGGTCTTCTTTCTTCCCACACATCATCTTCTTTTTGTGAAGAATATATAGGTATATACAATTACAAGCACACAAGTTGATTAGGTCGTTGCTTTCTCCATATATATATATATGTATACATATATAATCAAATAGTATCACCTCTATGTATTATGTTATGTGGGAATGATATGAAAAGGGAAAATTCAAGGGAAAAAAAGGATATATTGAAGTTGGGGTTGTCCTTCTATGAGACAAAGGATATATATGAAAAGGGTATAATATAACCTTGTGTGAGAGAGAGAGATAGGAAGAATTAATGCTAGAAATATGAAAAAAAATATAAACATATATATATATATATATGTGTATATGTATAGGACAAGACAAACCTTATTGGTTTGATAAAACGATGGATGGTTTTGGTTTGTGATTGTGAACTTGTGATGATAAAGAGAAAACGCCGAGATCTCAGCAGTCAGCAATATATAGGAGACTTGATCTTTATCTCTCTTTCTTTCTCTTCAAAATCTCTTTCACTTTGGTAGTTTTTTTTTTTTTTTTTTTTTTTTTTTTTTTTCTGCCACGCCTTTGTGGGGGGTTGTGTGTGTGCGCTTGCTGACCCTCCTTTTATCTCCTTTGGGGGTTTTTTCAAGGTTTTTTTTTTTTTTTTTTTTCAACTAAGCTTTCCTTTTCGTTGGTGCTTTGTTGGTATCTTTCCTTTGTTTTTGTTCTTTCTCTTCTCTTCTGATGGATCTGCACCCTTTCCACCACTCTAAATTTATAGTCTGTTGAGTACTACTACTACTGCTAGTCTCTCCTTTCCTTTCCTTTCTTCTTACGGCATTCTCTAATCCGTCCCTGTAGCTTTCAGGTTGTGGGCCGGGACATATACTTTTGTTAATTAAGTAAATATTAATATTCAAAAAAGTTGTAAAAAACCAAAGTTAATCAAAAAGTTGAGATACCCCATATTTAATATTAATTGTTTGTATGAAAATAAATAACATTTGTTTGTTGCTCTGTGATTGGTCCAAAGCATATAATTACACTCTGTTAGTGCAGTTTAGAGAGAGAAAGAAAGAGAGCGAGAGAGATCTAGCTAGCTAGAGGGACGGGGATGGGAAACACAAGCAGGAAACAGAGTGAACACACAACACACAGATTGTCGACCGACCAAAGACCAAAAAGGCTGAGAGTAACATCATGATAAAAGGCTTAGCTAAACCCTTTTCCTTTTGGTATATATATTTTTTTGTATTTTACTATTTTTTTAATTTTTATTAACATTTATATTTATTTATTTTTTGTTTAATGTTTTCGGACTTTCCTTTCCTACACCGGTCAAGCCCCCACGTTCTTCCATACTCTTGGCTATTTCCACGCCACCCTTTCTGCTTCCCCAAGACCATGTAATCATTGTGTCTTGGAACACACTCCATCCCACTTCTCTCTCTCTCTCTCTCTCTCTCTCTCTCTCTCTCTCTCTAAATTCTCACTCTCTTCTATAGCTAGGGTCTCCGTTCTCCTTGTAAGTTTTTCTTGGTTTCAGTTGTTACATATTATGGATATATTTACATATACATATATATATATATATATCCTATGGCTTCTATAAGGTCTTAGTGACTTCGTATATATGTTTTCAGTTGATATGAGTTATTAATTATACGTATGGACCATCTTGGAAAAAATGGAGGTGTATGTGTGTATGTATCAACTTTGATTTGATTGTGATGAAGGTCAGGCAATAATATTGCTATTTGGTACGTGGGGTTAGGTTCAGAAATGGAAAAGGAAAAGGAAATTTAGAAAATGGGATTTTGTCAGATTTACATGAATTTATGATTCCACTCCTGTACGTTGTTATGCTTCTTGTTCACGACTAAGGGGAAGAGAGAGAATGGCATGCACATGATATCTAGAACAATACTTATTGCTGCGAATTAAGGCTCTTTTTGTTTGTCTATTAATGCACCTCCGTTTACTTTTTTTTTTCTTTTTGGAAATGGGAATTTCTCCCACGTTGTGCGAAACCAAATAATTAACCATTATGCATTAGGAAAAAAAAATAATTATCCATTATAAGCCTTGTACTCTAAGCGATGTGTACTCATTGCCATTCAAAGGTGAGATTTTTGGAGCGCTTTTTAAAGTCCATGTTAGAAGTTAGAACTATATATAAACGCCGTCCAAGAGAGTACTGTAAAAAGTTGAAAAGACAAAGGAAAGAAAAGGTACTCCTTGGACCCTTTTTTTTAAGGCTAAAAGTTCTTGTTCTTTTTTTTGCCCCCTTTAATTTTTGCTTGTTCCTTCTTTGAATATTCTTTTTCATTTAAGAATATTGAAATCCAATTAGTAGTTGTCTTCAAGAAAAAATTTATTTTTTCATTTATACAAAGAAATCTGGCCGGTGGTTTTGTTGTACTCATGACAGCCACTACCACTATCACTGTACCACATTATCTCTCAATGGATTTGGTTGATAATTAATTGATAAAAATATACTTTTTTTTTTAAATTTACCGCAATTAAACTACGAGATATATAATTACAATTTAGTTTTTTTATATTTAATTTTTAAATTTAGAGTTGAGAATTATAACTCTGCATCTTGTGATAGACTCAGATGTGAAATTATGTTGTAGTTGATAAATAGTTACTAATGTAAAGTCACATATGTCAAAATGTGTATTTTTTGAAGGGTGTCAAAATGTGAATTTAGCTTATTATGTGATCCTTTTTTAGAAAATATTGTGTGATTACTTTTTAATGAATAATGAATAATATTGTTTTAAAAAAATAAAACAGAAATATAAATATTTGCTACATCAGCTGTGTACCTAGCTTTTAATATATTGTTACAATAATTAAATGTTAACTAATTAATGTAGAGATGCACGTAATTCAAAATGTGTGCGATCTTAAATAGCATGAGAATAATATGATCAAGATACGTCTAGGTCTACTCTTTGATATATATATATATATATGTACGTATATATGTGTGTGTGAGATTTGGCCATTGAAACTTAGAAATGGGGCCACACCGCCACAGCACCGAGGAATAATGGATGTTTTCCAACACTCGAAAAATGGCACGGTATTCCAGGCGTTCATATCCTTTGTCATGGCTGTTTCCTGATGGTTAAACCAGGAGCTGTAGTACTTCTGCCGCTATTGGCTTGATGGTTGGGCCGAAAGAGGTTCATATCTTTCTTTTTTTACTTTTTTATTTTTTCCTTCTGATTTTTCATTTATTTTTTTAATTTATTTTTTTACTTAATTATTTACTATCGTTTCATGACAAAAAGAAGACAAAAGCAATCTGCCTTAAGCTATCCCTTGACTGGCTACATCTGAGTAATTAAAACAGTTAGAAAAACAAAAGCAGCATGGCTTACAAAAAAGTAAAGCCAAAATCATTAACCCTACTTACCTTTTTATTCCCCTTTTCAACACCATAATATTGTTTATTATAGAGGGCCACATAAAGTCATAAACAATATCTATTTCGTCTTAATTACCCCTTTTTTTTTTTTTCAATAATCTGATTTTATTGGCTTTACCTAATTTGATTTGAGAGTCTTCTTGTTCAACACAAACAATAATTTTCAAAATTCATGTGTTTAGAATGGGAATCAATTAAGTACGAACAAGCTCATTCCCAATGTCTCCTTCTGTCGTTTCTCCTTCCCTACATGCTTCAGTACGGCTGTCTTCCTTTTTACCACATTAGGCCAGTCACTAGGCACTATTTTCCTCCTCTCTGCTGCTCTAATACTATTTAGCTTCAGCGTATGAATATAAGCTAAGAAGTAAGAACCTCTTTTTATCTTTTCACTTTTTTGGGTGTACATTTTTTCACCTATATATATAATTAAATCTCTCATCTATGTATATATAGCTAGGGCATGCACGCATATATATAGAGAGACACAGTGAAAGCCAAAGGGTTATTTCTTTGGACCCTTTGTGGTCACACGCATGGTTATATTAATTGGTCCCCAATTCTTACCTTTTCATCACTTTATTTTTTGGGGTGTCCTTTGCCTTTATACAAATATATATATATATATATATATATATGTATAAATATACACACACAAATATGTACACCTTATTGCGGGTCGTATTTTAAATTTTATTTTATTTTATTTTTAATAGCATGCACTAATTCAAACATTTGATGATAGCTGCAGCACCACTATCTAGCATTGCCCACGAGAAAGACCCCCTTTGTATGTGGGATTTATGATGACATCAGTCCCACCCTGTCATGACGTTGGGGGTTAAATTTTAATTTTGTTATTAATTTTATTTGGTTTTGTTGGCCTCCTAATTAAGGCCTAAAACTAAAGCAATGTTTAGTGCTTGATAATGGCTACTGAATCCCTTATGCCCTCGCATCGAGAAGCAACTTAAGATGTGCTGTTGGCTCATAATGAGTGGTCTTTGAATTTCCCTCACATTGTACCAAAGTTTCCATTCATAGTCATCTACTTCTCCAATATTTTCGTGAAAGGAGTCCCAAAAGAATATAAGCTATAATTTATATGATTAAGAAACCTAATCATGTGTTTATCTGATTAGGTGGGGTTTTTTCCCCCCCAATTATAAGCTTTCTTTCTCTCTATCACCTCTTTGTCTCCCTTGTTTTGAATATTATATATATATATATATATATATATTATTTATTTATTCATAGATAAGAGAGTTCTACAAAATTCATCCTTTTTTTAAAAAAAAAAAAAAATTTTAAGATCCAGTTCTACAATGGGTACAAAGCATGGACCTACCTAAAGCCTCATACTATATATATTTTTCACTACTACACTTTTTTGCTAGCGTATTATCTTTTTAGGTGTTTGAAACAAGGCAAAATCCACTAGCATATGTTTTGTGGACAAAACAATCCAAAGACATTAGTCTCCCCAGTTTTTAGTTTTGTCTTTTTAGATGGCCGAAAACGACAATTTCATCATTTTTTATTATAATAAAAATTTCCAATGAGGTGAATTTTCTCTGTTTTTTTTTGGGTGCATATAAATAATGTGGACGTACGTGTGAAACTTGACTGTTTCCAGAAGATGGAAAATGATATCCTTTGGTAAATTAAATTATGTCTGAGACATGCTTGAAATCCTAAAGTGGGCCCCAACACATCCTGCCTTTGAGTTGCTTGCAGATGATCATCAATCAGAAAATTTAGCAAAGCATGCTGCAGAAACATAATTCTTCTTCAAGGAAAGGTGGTTAAGTTAATTTTGTGCAATATTCAATCTATAGCAGTTTTAAGAGCCTTTAAGCTAAAGATAATCGGAAGCAAACTCAAGTTTCATTATATGTATTTGAGTTATAATCATACATACTTGCTAGAGCAGCAATGGACCATATTATTGTGAATTTTGAGTTATAATGAGTATATCTAGCTAGTAGCTATATGATACTTAAATTTCATGATGTTACTAATCGAGACATTTAGAAAATGAGGAGTTTCACCATGAAAAGTAATACACAATATTTTGTTAGAAATTAATTACGTATTTTTTCTGCCAAACATATTTGGTTTTCAAACAAATCTCCATAATGTGTATGTTTATTATTGTTAACTTGATTCGAACTCTACATCTTATAATAGTGTTGAATGTGAAATTACCATTAGACTATATCCACAATCACTCCGTCCATATTGCTATATTAATAGATAAGTTCAATTCAAAAAT